TAAAGGTTTCTATAGCAATGGCACGCATTCTTCTGGTTTTCAAAGATGGTAGTTTAGATTTATGTAAAAGACTCTCATAAGAACTTTTATAATCTTCGTAAATAAATCTTAATGCTCTTTCCTGAATTTTCTCTATTTTGCGAGTATTTTGCTCAGTACAAAAATGCCATGTTAAGGGGCAATAACTAAAATTTGACATGATAAAAGAGTGATATATTGTAAGTTTTCCTAACTTAGTTAAGTGCTTTCCTAACCGTTTAAGAACATTTAATTGCCTTGCAGCCTTTTTGCACATATTTGTAATATGTGTATCAAAAGACAACTTAAAGTCTATGGTTATACCTAGCAACTTAACTTCATCCTCACAAGGAATTTTGATTCCATCTAAATCAAATACAATGTTTTTACTTTGTGTTTTATTTCCAATAGAAATTGCCTGAAATTTTTCAGGGTTGGCCTGCATTTTATTTGAAGAGAACCATGTAATGAGAGATCTACTATCATGTTCTAAAGCTCCTACCACCTGTTCTAGAGATTTATCAGACTTTGATAGGGTGTTATCATCTGCATAATTGTAGAGGTTACATTTATCTACAAAGAAAAACAGGTCATTTATAAATATGTTAAATAACAGGGGACCAAGAATAGATCCTTGTGGGACACCTTTAATAATGTTTAACATGTCACTAACATGATGCCCTAATTTAACACATTGTTTTCTATGTGAGAGGTAGCTATAAAGCATTTCTTGTGCTGATTCAGATAGTCCATAGGCTTTTAGCTTCAAAAGAAGTAGTTCATGGGGAAGGCAATCAAAGGCCTTGGAAAGATCCATTAAAATAGCGGCAGTGTATTCATTTTTATCCAGGGCATATTTCCAGTCTTCAATAAGTCTCAACAGAGTAGACTGACATCCAAAACCTGACCGAAAAGCTGATAAAAAAGGATTAAAAATATCATTAAAAAAGTTTGTCAACTGTGTTTCTATTGCTCTTTCGAAAAGTTTTGATATTGTTGGGAGGACGCTCACTGGTCTATAGTTGCCCTTCTCTAAGGTACTATTTTTCTTGTGTATTGGAGTAACCTGTGCAATCTTCAGCTTATCAGGAAACGTTGATGTTACCAGGGATAGATTAATTATTTTGGTCAAAGGTTTACTGATAACTGGATTAGCAATATGCAAAAGTTTTGGAGAAATTCCATCAATACCTGTGGCCTTTTTTACATTGATTTTTTTAATATTTTTATTGACAAAATCTTCCTTAATGGGCGAGAAAGAAAATGTACTTGGTTGTGTTGTACCTTGAGTATTTTCTCTGATTGCCTTGATACTTGGGTGGTCCTCATCAACCTTTTCATCTGCATTTCCGATGTCTTTGGCTACATTTATAAAAAAATCATTAAAAATCTCACTTATTTCATTTTGATTATTTACAAGTTTTGAATTTTCTGACAGAGTTACATCATTTTGTGTGAGGGACCCTTTATTTGTTAAAAAAGGCTTTACAGTTGGCCAGAAATCTTTTGATTTAGGTCCCCCAGCACATCTTTCAATAAAATATTGATTTATCGATTTGTTCTTTAATTTGGTTACAAGATTTCTTTGTTGTCTATAGTTCTCCCAGTTCTGGTTTGATTTTATCGACTGATATTTATTATAATACATTTTTTTCTTGTATATAGCCTTACGAAGTTCTTTGTTCATGTATGGCACTTGCTTTGTCAATATTTTCCTTTCTTTAAGGGGTGCATGTTTATTGGCTACATCTAAAAAACAATTACTAAAATTTTCATATGCCTCATTTGCATCGGTGCTATCAGATAGTACAGATAGTTTATCTTCTAATTCCAAAGTAAAAAGTTCAGCATTGAAATTCTTAAAACTTCTACACATTCTTGTCTTTGTTTCTCTTTCTCTTATTTCAATATTTACCTGAACAGAAATAAAATTATGACAGTCACTAATTCCAGTTCCAAAATTACATACTTTGCCACATTTATCATTTTCATTTGTGATAATAACATCTAAAAGAGATGGTTTCCCAATCTTAGTAAAACATGTTGCTTTTTTAACAATATTCTTGGCATCATGTATATCACATATGTCACATAGAACAGAACTTTTATTTTTGTCAAGCATGTTGAAGTTTAAGTCACCAACTATGATGTAGTTGTCATATCTACTTATGATTTTATCTAGAGTTTGACTGAAGTCATCACTAAATACTGTGTCTTCCATCTGAGGCGGTTTATAAGCTCCTGCAAAGAACCATTTATTACCATTTGATGTTACCTCTATTCCCACTGACTCTATGTCTTTAAATTCAAGGGTGGGTTTTCGGTCTCCAGCTACATCTGATCTTAAGTATGCTAGCACTCCTCCACCATGCTTATTTCGATCGGCCCGCCATAAGGTGTAGTTGTCAACTGCAAACTGGGCATCAGGATAGGAGTCATCAAGTTTAGTCTCTGCCAGGAACAGCATATCAACAAGATTACGCCGTAAAATGTCTTGAATCTGCTCATACTTTCCCGCGAGACTGTTGATATTAAGATAACCACAGATCAGTTGTGAAGGATGTGTTCTCCTGACTTTAACAAGCTCCTGCCAGATGTCTTGATAGCTATTTTGGTTTTCCTCGTTGGGTTCACATTTGTTTATGTTTTGTATCGTTTCCGGTATCTCGATCCCGATCGAATTCATATTTATTGTTTCAGCATCTGATGCTCTTCGTGTGGTGTTATATGACATGATATCTGGTAAAATTGTGCATTTTTGACATAGCCAGGATGATGATGAAGAAATTTGGCTGCCAGTATAACATTTAATGTGGCATCTTACATTACATTGTGTGCAGATCACTAATTTCTGATTTTTTCGAGTTTGTTTACTGCAAACCAGACAGGGAAATTTTATTGGTCCGGGGTTTGTCGCTATGTCACCCGAAATAAGAATTCTCAATATTAAAACATATTTTCCGACTGAGCCGTGTCTGGGAGATTTCTCGTTGTTGTTGACAAACAAAGGAATTTTTGGCGGGTACAATTTGTACAATAAATATTCGTCTAAAAATTGTTCATAGTTGAAACTGGACTTACAAATGTCATCTATGGATGTTACAGAGTCATCTGTAGTAGCATTTCGATGAGTAGGTGGTGTTAGTCTACATATCATCGATGTGATGACCAGAGCTACTGTCCAGTGAACTGACCGTTCCGCCATTGCGATCTTGAAAAGATTTTATGTACGAGTCTTTAACAAAGGCTATAGCCCTTTGTTTCTGTCTTAAAGTTGGTGTATAATTCAGAAATGCCACAGAAAAATCGTCCGGAATGTCCTTCAGACAAACCTCGCTCGCCATATTGTTTACATTGAATGTCGGGCATTTGACTTCTTAGTTACCGTCGTCACGGTGGGCGGGGCTAATGCACGAATCTGCGATCCGCCAATTCTGTGACAAATAGCCATGCCCCTATACTTTTGGCAAAATCACTTGATGTACTTTGTTGATCATAGTTTTCAACTCTGAAAAAAAAATGCAGGAATTCTAATGTGTTTTATTTGACATGTTCTCCAATAATTCCATGAAATAAGGATGGAAGGTAGTAAAGGCGTTTAAAGGCATAATCCGAATGTGACTAAAATGGGTAGCGAAACCCGGGCCGGGCCGGGAATTTCGAAACTAAAAACCGGGTTTTTGATAATTACGAAATAAATACTCGTTCTTTCTTAATGAAATTTACGGACATAGTTTAATATCCTAAGAATGGCCTTCGCTGAAAGTTTTAAGTCAAAATGTTGTGTTTTTCAATGATTTTCGCCGATTGTCCTTTTCCAAGTGACTAAAATGGGTAGCGAGCCCGGGTCACTCATTTTGGCGATTTAAACTTAATTTCGGGAACATATTTACAATTTTTTCATTTGGATCTTTGAAATTGAACTTAAACTACCTAAAACATCTAAGTGTTGCAGTAATTAATCCCAATTATTAAAAATGTACGTATTTTTTGTGTACCCGGGATTGGTCAAAACCGGATACGTTCATCCGGGCCGAACCTTTTATTTCCGAAATACTTATCATAGGATGTTCGCTATGGGAAACCACACGGAGGTATCCTCATGGACATTGACGGTAATTGAACAGTATGAAAACGAACTCAGAATTTTGAATTAATTATATAAATCTCCCGGCTAATATATAGCTGTATACCAAGCTGGCTATGCAGATTTACCATATTTACTGAATCTTAATTAGTCTTAATGAATCTTTCAAGCCAGATGTGCTGACATTACACTGGTTATAAATTAATACCTGAACACCAAGGTGCAGGAAAAAAATTGTCAATGACATATAATTAAAATATAATTTGACTGTAGATTGATTTGCATATTTTTATTTTTATTTTCAACTTATTCATGTTATTTCATAGACGCATCGATCAAGGACTGAAATAAAAATCTCTGGCAATCCGGAATTATTAAGTTTGTCCCGGGTAAACGCGTCCGGTTTTGACCTGTCCCGGGTCTATAAAAAATGACAAAATCCCTCATAATCGACATTTTATTTCATAATGATTGAACATTTTAACTATTTGAAGGTAATAAACAACCAACAAATGCAAATATCACATACATTTTCAATGCATTAAGCTTAAAATCGCCAAAATGAGTAAACCGGGCTCGCTACCCATTTTAGTCACTTGGAAATGGACAATCAGCGATAATCATTGAAAAACACAACATTTTGACTTAAAACTCTCAGCGAAGGCAAAACTTATAGTTATAAACTATGTCTGTAAATTTCACGAAGAAAGAACGAGTATTTATTTCGTATTTATCAAAAACCCGGTTTGCAGTTTCGAAATTCCCGGCCCGGCCCGGGTTTCGCTACCCATTTTAGTCACTCTCGGCATAATCCTGTAATTAGTCATACTCCTCCTGATCAGTAAAGCGTTTTACTTGAAGGGTATTATACGTCAATAGTATGCATTAGTTTGACATTGATTGTAATTTGCACGCTGTCAGATTCACAAAATGTTGCGATTACCATCAAAAGTTGATCCAGAAGAACAAAAGAAAATAGCTAGAACAGGATGTATACAGAGTTTTTGCATATTTGCCGTCACATGTGCCGTCATTCGATCTTGTGAGTGCTTAATTAAATTCTATTCATAAGCAGTTCAAATGCAATTCTAAAATCATCTGCAAGTTAAACATTTTCTCAAACTTATAACTTATTTTAATGCCCCTGTAGTTGGATGTGGGGGTGTATATATCTTTCGTCCGGTCCGCCCGTTTCTTTCTGTCTCTCTGTTTGTCTACGATAACTTTAACATTGACCATAACTTTTGATATGTTGGAGTTATGACTTTCATAATTCACCTGTGTATTCCTTGTGAAAAGACCTTTCTTGAAGTACCAACATCTTTCACATTTTACCTTTACCTTGGAATTTTGCACCCCCCCAAAAAAAAAAACTAACTAACAAACAAACAACTTTTAACAATCCAAATTTGACATATAACTTTTGAACAGTTGACACTTGGCTTTCACATTTCTCATGTATATAATATTGACAAGACCTTAGAGTTTAAATTGATCCAATTTTTGGAAACTTTTACCTCGACCAATGACCATAACTTTATTATCTATTAGTACCATGCAGTGCTTTCCAATTGTGCAGGTTTATTTCTTATAATGAGACCTTCCATTGGATACCCAAAGTTTTGACCTTGGAGTTTGACCTTCTTTTGAAAAAACTTTAACCTCCATCATATCATTTGAAGAATTGGTGCAAAGACTTTTATAATTTGTATATGCATATCTTATGACAAAGTTTCTCCTTTTTTGTACCATTAATTTTTACCCTTTGTTCTTGAGTTTGACCCACTTTTAGAAAACATTTCCTTGACCATAATGTTTGAAGGGTTGGTGCTTAGGCTTTCATATAAGGTATATCCATTGACTTAAGTCCTTCTTTGGGTAACAACATTTTTGATTCTTGACCTTGCATGGAATTTGTCTTTCATTGGAGAAACTTTAACCTTCGCCATAAACACATATTGTTATTACATTATTATTTTATTATATAATAATTTTTTTTTTTTTGCAGTGCCGTACATAATGAAGCAAATTAATTCTTAATACATGGAGATAACTGACCAGTGATACAAGACTGCAGTTTGACAATTTATATCTAGAAATGGAGAGACCAGACCAGACATTGCTTAACAAAATAAAAAAAAAAAAAAATAGAGATGTTTTATTATTATAAGCAAAGCTGCTATTATTAAATGGATTCAGTCTCAATATTCTTGCTTTTTTTTATTGTTTGTAGTATTTTCAAATGAGACACACACAACATTTTGATATGATTGAACTTGAATCTATCGAACTTGTAGAGATCGAGCTTGTTTATTACAAAAACTAGGTTAAAAGAAAGTACTACTTATATGGTTCTTATTTAAAGAAACAAAAAAACAATATCCCATACTGGATTCTAAAAATCTCAATGTTAATGGTTGCACCTTGAGATACATTTGTAGTTTACAAAGGCAAATGAAAAGATAGGCTAAGACCCCTTTTTTGCCCCTGGTTCTATGGTCTTTTAAAATGATGCTGCAACTGTTTATCAATAAAAACCTGTTGTCACCCTTGGCACAAAATGACAATTGGTTCAAAGTTATTGGGCACACCAAGTCATAGGAAGGTCAGAAAATTTTTATGCAATTTTTCATCGATTTTACTCCACATTTTTCGGTGGAGCATAAGCTTGCCTATCTACGAAATTTATATATATCATGCACTAGTATCATATGCATATTGTGTATAAAACAAGCTTAATTGTGCTCTATGTTTCCCGAAGTGATATGTATTTTAAATTTGAAGAAATTCTACCAGAATTGAGGTGATTTCGGGAAATGTCCTCCTTCAGCACACTCTAATCACCTCTGTTTACACCTATGAATCAAAATTAGTGCTGTTTTTAGAGACACTTGATTATTTTAAGTTCTTACCTACAAACTATCACAGTTTTAACTGTGATCTAATTTTTACATCAAATAAAGGGCCATATTTTTAACTACTGGGGGCTGTTTTCAGAATTCAGAGAATGTCTGGTCTAATATAATTTCAGAGAAAATTTTTGCACTCATCATTTCTCCAAATTGTCTCCTTGTTCATTAACAGATTTAAGAACAAGGGTTCCTCTTCCCAAATTATCATATAGGCATCATGTGTGACTCCAAACAGAAGTTAAAGCCTATCTCAAACTTGTGTGTCCCAAAGTGATCATTGTCTTGGTATGTGGTACAATTATCAGACCTTTTTAGCTACTTTCTGTTTGGAACTCACTCATATGATGCCTGTATGAAAATTTGGGAAGACGAACCCTTGCTCTTAAATTTATTTGTTAAATACATAGGTGCAGAAAAGATTTTTCACAAAATTGGTTCATTTTTATGACATGATCAATAAAGCCGTAACACACCACCAGAACCCCAAACCCTGAATCAATGATTTTCACAAGTTTTAGAAGAGGCAACTTTGCTCATTGCCTTGCACTTTCATTTTTACCTGTGAAAAAACAAGGGGCAAAGAAGAAAATTTACAAAGAATAGGTGAATCCACACTTTTTAAAAGTTATGTCCCTTGAAGGCCATCTTTGGGGAAAAACCCAGAGAATTCTTACAGTAGTCATTATAGTTTTCTGGTTCATAACTTTGTCATTTGACTGGGAAAATTCTGTACATCTGTGCATCTTGTATAATGATTGCCTCAAGATGGGGCTACCCATGTATTGAAAGAAAAAATTTAAACACAGCGGATTTATCGGAGCATGTCCAAATGTTTATAGTAGCATAAAGAGGAGAAATGTCATTTCTTTCCCTTTTCGTTGACCCTGCAAAGGGACACAAGTATTGCAAAGTGTGGACTGAACTATTCAAATGAATTTTTACTATCAACAGACTTTAATTAACACTCGATCCTCACTTAAGAGGTATTTATTTCACACTTTTGGAAAAGGAATCTTTGCTTATCATGGTAATGATCAGGACAACAAATGACAAACTAAATTTTTAGTCAGTAAAACTTGGCATATTATTGTAAAGAAAATCCGCTGCATTTTATTTCTAAATTTTTATAAAAATTGTATTCAACTTTTCATTTTAGACTTTTTATAGATTTCTTTCACGATTATTTTAAGTTTTCATCTCCAACATTTAATTATCACATGTAAATTCCCTTTTAATTTAAGTATGTAAAAGTGCAATTTAGTCATTGCGAATTCTAGCAATTTTAAAAAATCTCTCTTTGAATGAACAAATTTTGTCAAAAATTTGGTTTGTTGTTAAAATATTCAAACTCATAGCTGATAAATTCATTTTGTGTTTTTGCATCTGTATTACTTCTGAAATTACATACAGTAGGAAAGCAAAGATTGATTCAATGGAGCAAATTTAAGGGTCCTTAAAAGTATTTATTTTCTATAAACCATATATAATTTGCTGCCAAGCCTGATATATCTTATACATCAGTAACTTTTCTTATCCATACAAAACATTGGCTGAAAAACTTCTATGATAGTCATGATCAACATCCTGTCTTATATAGATTATATAATTTTTGCACTGCTGTAGCAGTTTTTGATATGATTATGATGTACCCTTAACAGGCCAAATAAATCAACACATGATCAGTTATAAGAATATCACAGTCCACTTGGGAGGTTCCCTCCACAGATTTAAGTCAATTGTTCCCACTTCCTCCATATCAGTCCTATATCTTCAACTCAAATCATCACTTCACATCAACATCATCTTCACTCTCTAGTGTTACTATCTTCTGTATTTCTCTTCAATCTTCTCTACCAAGTTTGGCACATTTTTGATTTCAAAGTCTAAAAGCATCTGTCCCATAGCTTTTCCCTGAAAAACAGTGGTATTCCATATCAAAAATCTAGGTCATGTACATTAATTGTGAAGTATTTGGATATTGGAAGTAAATATATACTATGCTGGATTAAAAGTCAAAATATATGAGAGTATTTAATTCTACCTGAGGATCACTCCTTAAAGAGGCTATGCCTCCTCCTCCTAAAACATCCTGCAGAACAAAATTTAACCCCCACACACCAGGGACATCATACCTACAACATTAAACTGCATTTTAATACCTTGTTACAAAATTATTTTATCTTTTGTATTATAAAATGTTATTTTAGCTAAATCATGGTAAATCATAACAAGAGGCCCATGGGCCACATCGCTCACCTGAGTAACTTAGGTGATACAGTTCTTTAGTAGATTTCCCCTCTTCCTATACATGTACCTATCGTGCCCCCTACCCCCTCCCCTTACATGATTTTAATATTTTAGAATCTACACTACCCAAGAATGCTTCCACATAAGTTTCAGCTTTCCTGACCCAGTGGTTCTTGAGAAGAAGATTTTTAAAGATTTGTTCTATATATTTCTATGTAAAACTTGCATTCCCTATTGTGACCCTGCCCTACCCCCGGGGGTCATGATTTAACAATTTAATATTTACACAACCCAAGGATGCTTTCACATAAGTTTCAGCTTTCCTGGCCCAGTGGTTCTTGAGACGAAGATTTTCAAAGATTTGTTCTACATATTTCTATGTAAAATTTGCATTCCCTATTGTGACCCCGCCCTACCCCCGGGGGTCATGATTTTAGCAATTCAATATCTACACTACCCGAAGATGCTTCCACATAAGTTTCAGCTTTCCTGGCCCAGTGGTTCTTGAGAAGAAGATTTTTAAAGATTTGTTCTATATATTTCTATGTAAAACTTGCATTCCCTATTGCAGCCATGCCCTACCCCCGGGGGTCATGATATTAACAATTTAATATCTACACTACCCTAGGATGCTTCCACATAAGTTTCAGCTTTCCTGGCCCAGTGGTTCTTGAGAAGAAGATTTTTAAAGATTTGTTCTATATATTTCTATGTAAAATTTGCATTCCCTATTGTGGCCCCGCCCTACCCTCGGGGGTCATGATTTTAACAATTTAATATCTACACTACCCAAGGATGCTTCCACATAAGTTTCAGCTTTCCTGGCCCAGTGGTTCTTGAGAAGAAGATTTTTTAATGACCCCACCCTATTTTTGTCTTTTCTTGATTATCTCCCCTTGGAAAAGAACCTGGCCCTTCATTTTAACAATTTAAAATCTCCCTCACCCAAGGATGCTTTGTACCAAGTTTGGTTAAATTTGGTCCATCGGTTCTTGAGAAGAAGTCGAAAATGTGAAAAGTTTACAGACGGACGGGCGGACAGACGGACGACGGACAAAATGTGATCAGAAAAGCTCACTTGAGCCTTCGGCTCAGGTGAGCTAAAAATATATGTTTATACCTCTAAATTTCTCTACAAATTAATAAATTTAATTTAGTGGTAATGCACACAGAGATCAAAGAAAACATAAGCAATGTAAATTGACCATTTTCCATGTTATCCTGTAACAAACACACTTATTTAAATGATTAACTCAGTGGTACCTGCAATTAAACAATCAAGCTGTTAATTACCTAACAGTACCTTCAAAAACAGCTACCTGGGATAAATCTCCTTTGATCTCAGCTGGATAATAGCACTATTTATGTCTCAACACTTTGATATGAGACCCTTAGAGTTACTTCTAATTACTTAAAATATATAAAGTGTTTTCTCCACCACATTTCATTACAACTTACAACTAGCTTTCAGACCTACCATTACAATATTAAAATCATTATGGAGGCAAAATCAAGTGCCCAGAAACTCCAATGTCTTCTTATTAACCACAACAAAGTCAGGAAACAGATCAAATTGCTAGGTATGCTTTAAAATATTTGATTTACTCATTCATCTAAATGTAAAATTCTTTGAAGGAAAAGTTGAAAAACAAGAATATTTAATTTTGGATTCATATCACACATTATCCAAAGTTTTTTTCTTATAAGCTAATAAACTAGAACTTGGTAAATTTATGAATGATAACCTATTTACTCAAATTTTATCTACACTGTATAAAAATTAACATTTTTTTTTTCTTTAGCTGTAATCTTTAGGTGGAAATAACTGATTACAACAAGTTTTATTAGCTTTTATATCAAACAATTAAAAGGAAAAGAGATAGTTACATTTTATATAATGAAAAATTTATATACAGTGTACATACAATATCATTTAAACATATCTATATAGTGATAGTAATGAAAATTCACTATCTTTAAATAAACATATTTCTAGAGATTATAGTGAAGAAGCAAACATTTAAAGATGCAAATTCGTTGATTAAATTTAATTTGGAGACATAGTAAGGAATTTGTAACATAATTACATGCAAATTTTAAAATTAGTGTGTTTGACAAATTGATAATTATGAGATAATAATTAAGAGCAATGAGATAATTGATCAGTTTAAAACTGTTATAACCAGTATCTGATTTTAGTTTGTCTCAGTCATCAAGAGTAAACAGAATGTCACCCTGGATATCAATCAAAATGAACAAATTCAGGGCTCTCTTTAGAAGATATAAGAGAGTTTCTACTTCTATTAAGAAAATTGGTATGTTTTTTTTTTAAAACACTAGCTAGAACAAAAATCCATTTTATTCTACTTTATATTAAAGTAACAATGTTTTTTTTTTATCATCAAACAAAAACCAACTAGCATGGTATTTAGGTCCCTGCAGATATGTACAAAAGTATTTACTGGTAATGTAGACATTTCAAATTTACAATTAATATTCTTTTTGTTAATTTCAGAGAGGCTGATCCAGAGACACCATCGCCAGGCGGTCCGATCCATTCACCTCGGCCAGAAGGGACAAGCTCTGCATTACATGGGGTGTAAGACAGTGGTGCAGTCAGTGAAGTACTTCTACCAGCAGTACTCCACCAGGAGCTGGATACGGGTACAGACCATGGCCCGGGAGATCATGCTGACCCTTGACCCCAGGAGTGTCCCCCCGCCCCTGGTTATCCCTGAGGAGGACTTCCACTGCCTGGAGGAACAGACCCTCAAGTACCAGCACGCCCTGGCCGTGGCCCATTGTAACTTCTCTAGGACTAGCTAGTGGGACTTTTGCGTGTCTATTGTGCCTTGAGATACTGTGTTTCTGTGAATGTGGGGTACTTCATTGTGATCTGTGATTTCAATGTGAAGGAATACGGTTGTGTTACCCAGACTGACAAAAGAACTCAGTGAACTGTTTATCTATGAACTAATGTTGAATATTTTGCATTTTATTTATGTATTTATTTTATGCTTGCTTACTTAAACCAATACTTAGAGCAATGTGTATTTTACTACTTCTTAAACAGAAGTTTTAAATGTGCTTAGATGTGCTAAACTATGATTATTATATCTCAGTTGTGAAAGTGCTTTTATTAAAATTAAAGTTTTGAAATGAACATTTCTTGAATTTTATTTATTTATGAAGAGCTATGGTCAACTTCAATGACCAGAAAAAGCTAAAGCAAAATTTTATTTTAGAATCAAATAAATTGAAACAAAATATTCTTCGCTAAAGGAGACTGAATGCAAAAAGTAAGAACACAGTCTCTATAGAAAGATATATTTTTTTCCTTCATTATGATTAAAAATACCTTTGCACTTTTTGATGAGTTGGTAATTTGTCATTTTCAAAAAGATGTGAGAAGTATTGTTCCACAGCCTCTGGGGTCAGGGCTTGTCTGAGGTAGGGTAAAATGTCTGGGTGTCTGGCAATCAAACCTACAAAACAGGTACATGTACCGGTACAACAATGACGATACTGAAGACACAAAACCACTGACGATCATACTCTTGGGAAAAAAACACTCCGACAAAATGCTTATAAAATTTACGGTCTACTCATTTATTAAGCATAATAGGCAAAACATGAAGGATATTGAGTCAAAGGGAGAAAATGTACTTCAAAGGAAGAAATTGTAATGCATGGGTAAAAAAAAATATTTATAATATTAAATCCATGTTCAATCCATAACAAAACTTTATTGTGAAAAGCTAAAAAAAAATATTTAAGGGACATGTATTCATTTTATTCTCATTCTTAATATACCAATATTGGCACTATTTCCTTTGTCCCCACTCCTGGTATAGGCCAGTTCCTCCAGTCTGAAGGAGTAGTCTCCCTTTGGTAGTGATTCCTCCACAGTTTTAGATGGGGGCGTGACATTCTGTGTCATGTACTCTGACATAGGGATATCTGGAAACTGATACTGCTCAACATGCTCTCCATTCAGTTGGATGTCAACCTACAGGATGTTAACCAACTCTAAATTAATCTGAATTTATATGTTCTAAAAGTCAATCAGCCACACATCTAAAAATCATGTCTTAATTACCTGTACATTGCTACGTGGATAGAGAAATGAAAAAAGTTTCAACACTGGATTTCTGTAAAGAAAAGAAATTGAATAAAATTATAGCTAATTAAATGTAGCACAATGAACTCACAAAGATAAAAGTGTACAACATGCATGTTCCATTAAATTAATTGAATTGATATATGCGGCGGGTGTGACTGGTTATCAGGTTTGCTTCTCCATAGCACATAATCCTACTTCTGATGTTTTAGAGGTTCATGTTTGCTCTTCTCCCAGATTGTATTGTTTCAACAGAACTTGAGCTTAAATGTTTTTCGTTATCTCCCAATTTCATACAAAGATAAAATAATTTTACATCAACATCATATCAAATTTCATACCGTTTTTTCGGTACTTACACTCTTGGCCGTCCACCAATGATGTTAGTTAATCCTGGAGCTATAACAGAGAAGGCAGCTATTAAAAAGGCTTTTAATATGTAAGATTCATTTTAACAACTAAGATTTTATTGGGGATAAAATTTTGTTTATTTCATAGTTATCAATCACCAATGAAATTCAATCCCACAGGAAATACAGTATTCTTATGACTATATATTGAAAAGGATTTTTGAGACAACAATGCCAAAAAAAAGTTTTAGATAACAAAACAATGAAATTTGATGACAACGAAAATTGTATTTCTACAGTAAGAGAAATGTTGACAAAGTTTTTGAATGGCAGGGACATACCCATTCCTGTGCCAGCAGGGGCTATTTCTTTAGCAAAGAACTCTAAAGCTTTCTTGTTTTTGTGGTGAACTGCTAACCAAAGAAGAGCATCCCTAACACCCTACAATGTAAAAGATATAGCAGTAAAAAATAACACCGTTATTTAAGAATTTGTGTGTCCTCTTTTTATATTAATTACAATTTATGATGTAAAATTATGACTTAAAACCTGAGGGACTCTGCTCTTTGGTCCATACATGTGTTCTGAACCAATGACTTCTAGATTGACATTGGTGAAATCTTCCAAATTAAGCTGAGCAAATATCCTTCTACACCTGCAAATTATAATTGAAAATGTCAACAAGCTATTGAATAGGTAAGTTTTAAACTCTGAACTACTACTATTTTAAACTTGTGTATGTGACTGGGAGAACTAAACATTCAGACAGACAAAATATGTTGTATAAACCTGTTCTAAAAGCAGAATCCAACTATAAAAATAATCCTTAAAAATAAATAAATGAACTGTATATTTAATAAGTAAACAGTACCTTTTAAGAATTTCCTGAGCAGTCTTTTCAGCCTTCGCTTTAGCATTAACACCGCCCACACAAGCTGCTGCAGTGGCTCGGAAACCATCTGGGTACACCGCACACACCTCAGGAAAAAATAACAGGAGACTCAAATACAACTTGCTATAAATGGACAAATGAAACAAAAAAAAAAAAAACAAAAACAAAAACAGAACTGTGCCACAGGATAAAAATGATTCTAGAACAGCATGTTCATTTACCTTGAATTCACCAGTAGGTGGGTGACCTTTGGCCCCTGACACATGCACAGCTGTGTCTCCAGATGCTGTGAAAATCAAATTGTTAAAAGGTACTCTTTATAATTGGTAAAAGTAAACAAGTGCTTCATGTCATACATCAATATTTTGTTATTTTTCATACCAGGAGCATTTATACAAAAGGATAGGCAACTCCATCAATTTCGAAATTAACACATGCAACCTTTCAAGATTTCTAAATTATGTTTTTTTTTTCAAATAAAAATTTTGCTGTTTGATAAATGCAAATTATTATTTATGGGAATAGATTTTTGATGCATTTTAAAAGACTGACAAACAAAATATTGAGATTTATCATCAGCCTTGTGAGAGTTGCCCATCCCCTTAGTATACAGAGTCCCTGTCAACACTGAGCACTGTCACGTGACCCATTAGTATACAGTTCCCTGTTAAAACTAAACATTGTCTTACCATCCACTTCTTCCAGTTGTACCTGAGAGAAATCACAACAGACATCAGGTAACATATAGTGCTCTGGGTCCCCGATCTCGTACAGCAGTTGTTCACTGACCGTGGCCCTTGTCACAATGCCCCCCGTTCCTTTAGGTTTGGTGACGATAAATTCTCCACTGGACGCACACTCCACAATAGGAAATCCTATATGATCCCTGTCACAAAACCAAAACAATAAGTTGAAGTTAAAATGAAACTTTGAAATATTTAAAATTAAAATAGGAAAACCATATTTTTGTTTCCCCTTGGAGACTTTAAACTGCTTATTCCGTAAAATAATTAATAAAATTATTGAATTCTCTAGCACATAATTCACATATTCTTTTAGCAGGCAGATGAATGGATGAAAAATCTAAAACAAAAAACACCAACCCACATACAGAAGTATAATCCAATGAAACATCCTTCTCTTACTGTACATATATTTAAGCTGAAGTGTTATAAATACTTAAGTCTTTATAAATAGAGTATAGTTAAACAGATAGCCAGACCGGCAGGTACAGTAAATTAGTGAGGGACAATAACCTACCAACCAGGTACCTTCTCCCAGTCTGTGAAAATCCCCCCTGTTACCTGTGCCCCACACTCCACCAAATGTCCAGCTAAACTAAAATAAAGATTACTTGTATGTATTAAAGTCATGTCTTCATACATACAGGATCACACTATAATAATTCACATATAATTTAGCTTTCAAGATATTCATTTAAAAAAAAATCCATGTAAGCAAATGCTTCATAATTTATTGAAAACTTAGTAGAAGATAACATTTATCTATACCTTTACAATTTATTCTAGAAATATAGCACATAGAAAACAAGAACATGCCTTTTGAATGGTATTTACTTGTACATGCAAAATGGTAAAAAAAAAAAAAAAAAAAAATTAGATGCAGCAAAAACAATTGAAATTCATTTATAACTCAAACTTTACGGGCTGAGAAAAATCTTAAATATAAGATCTGGGATATCAAAGTTTTAAATACTTTACGAAAAAGATGATTGGGACTAATCACTTCCAACTATTATCAACATATCCTACATCTCCTAATATTTGAGATGTCAAGGAATGAAATACATGTACTAAAGTTAAGCTGTATTTGAAATACATCAAGGTACCAACTTTCAAAAGTTTTCAAACAAAGAAAAAAATTATTCAAAAGAATAAACAGAAAAGTTAAGTAGATGGAAACTATATCTATTTTTTATATCTAATAATGCATTTGTAACAAAGAATGAAATCAAGCAAAAGTAATATATCAAGAAAATAACTCTATTGAAGAACATAGGGTACCATTTTTTGATGATCTAAAAATCTGAACATTTTTGGCAATTATCATTAAAATATCAGTTAAAGAACAGCATGTTTATCAACTATAATATTATTCTCCATCAGCTTGAACTTTAATGTTGTTCAGAAAACCATGAAAAAAAAATTATTTTTCAATGTGACATACAGCATTTAATTTTGGATTATTTATTATATCAAATATGTACCTTCCAGCTGCAAGATTATTAAAGTCTGTCCACTGCCATCCAAACTGAAAAAAAAAATGAAATAAAATTATCACACTAAATGTATAAATTTCAATTTATTTCTTAAATTAAAGCAGTTTCATGGGAAATATATACCAGTACATATATACAGTCAACCTTTTATCAATTATTTTAAGTGATCCATTGATCCGATGGTAATTTCAGAAAGGTCATACACTTAACTGGAGGTATGTAATTTGTTTATATTAGTGCCATGTGCAATAGCAAACAATATGTGTCATATACACATGTACTAACAAGAGGCCCATGGGCCTTATAGGTCACCTGAGTATTATGCAACAACTTTCCAGTGATTGAATTTGATTCATGTGTTAAGCCAGATGCTATGGCATTATTTTGAAAGAAGCACCATTGATCATCATAATTATACACTTAACAGTTGCTTAGTTTGGTTACCTAATACCCATAGGTAGGGTTGGAACAAACAAAAAATGCATTTCAACTAATCAGTAATATTCAGCAATAATCAGTAGTGCCCCTACCACACATGAACCCCTGACCCTTAGGCCTAGATCCACATATTGCACAATTTTTGAAAAGGCATCCTTGTTTTTCAAAAATATTTGCTTAATACCAAGGAGCAGATTTCAAACAATTCATTCATTTTCAGTATTTAAGTACAGCCCCCACCCCTCTATTGTACCCCTGACCCTGGGGCCTTGAAATTCACAATTCTTGAAGATTAGGGCCCTTGCTCATCATAACTATATAGTTAGTTCATCTGCTTAATACCCAGGAGCAGCGAAGAAAATTTTCAAAGATTTAATGTATTTTCACTATATAATCAATAGAGCCCCACCCTAACCCAGAACCCCTGACCCTGGGGCCATAAAATTCACAATTTTGGAAGAGGCATTCTTGCTCATCATAACTATGTACTTAGTTAGTCTATTTAATACCCAGGAGCAGAGAAGAAGATTTTCAAAGAAATAATGCATTTTTACTATATACTTATTTAGCCCCACCCTAGCACTAGAATCCCTGACCCCAGGGCCATGAATTTCACAATGTTTGTAGAGGTATCAATGCTTGTTTCAATCATGAAACAGTTTGACTGCTTGATATGCAGGAGTAAAGAAGATTTGTTAAGATTGCATTAATTTTAGTGGTTTTGGTCCCACCCCTCAGGCCCCAGGGGGCAGGGATCATGAAATTCATAATTTTTGTTCCCCTTCACCTATAGATGCTTTGTGTCAAATTTGGTTGAAATTGATTCAGTGGTTGCAGAGAAGAAACTGAAAATGTTCAAATGTTAACGCACAACACACGAAGCACGACGATGGACAAAAACGGATAGCAATAGGTCACCTGAGTTTACTCAGGTGACCTAAATATAGGATATAGATGCACCTGGTCCCTTGGACCTAATGGACACCTTTAGAAAGTACATTTACAGTGTAACCTGTATAATCTGACTTGCACTGGTCGAGAAAATTTTGTGTCTGAATGTCCGAATAGACAGGGTGTTGGATTGCACAGGGTAAACATGGTAATGAAATGTAGAAATTAGCGAAATGGAAAACAACATAAAGTCATATTACACAGAGAAACAAATCACACAGGTGTTGGATTGGACAGTTTTTACTGTAAATACAGTCAAACCTCGTTATCTTAAGCTCAATGGGACTGAGCAATCTTTGTTATATAAGTTCAACTGTACTTTGTCACTGATTGTAAAAGTAAAGAAAGGGGGATTTTTATTCCCTTTTAAATGATTTATCTAAAAATAGGATCTCCCATTAGTTTGATTCTTAACATACCGATAGTGGATTTTAAAGGCAGAATTGACTGCAGTCCACAATTCTAAATTTCAATTGTGATGAAATACAATGAGAGTCCTTTAACTCTTTTCCTTTTTTTTTTTTGGATAATTTGTCTTATTGGAAATACACCGTATTAAAAATTCCGACAAACTTACAGTGTGAACAAGAGGACCCAATACAACAGAACTGTCTACACACCGGCCGGTGATAACAACATCAGCTCCAAGATCCAGAGCTCTGGCAATGGGTCCAGCCCTGTGTAATCAAATTCACATTGTAAAAGTATTTCACCATCCTATACACACCTTAAAACAAACACATGACAAACATAGTATTGTACCATTATCAAGAAACTCTGAACATACCCAAGATATGCATTCATGCTGACAACTGATTTTGGAAATGGCTTCCCTGACTGCATATCTACAATGCAGTCATCTTGAAGAGTCTTCAACTGAAAAAAAATAGAGTTCATCCTAAATATACTAAGAATTTGGAGGTGACTCATAAAAAAATTATGCTTTAATTGGCTTCTTTAGATGTCAGAGACACGTATAACTTAGACTCTTTTTCCAGATGAGCAGTACATTGATACCTTCGGCATAAGGTCATCCCCTGTAACCACTGCTATGTTTAATGAGATGCCAGCATTCTCACAGACTGCTTTCAGGGCAGCAGCACAGCCCTGTGGGTTAACTCCCCCTGCATTGCTGATCACTTTTATCCCTATAAAAATGACAAAATATATTTAAACTGGATGTAAAGATGAAACAATTTATTTTTAGAACAGTAAATTTATGTTTCCTTCATTTTGCGTCAATTGGGATATGAATTCATTTTCTGTAAGTGTCAAGGAAAACTTTTAATTTTTTCATCCATAAAAAAAGAAGACGTATTTATTAAAGATGAACATTTTTGCTAATTTCATTAATAGTTTTAAGCAACAATTCAGGAATTAATGCATTTCAAAAAATACAAAAAAAAACCATAAACTCTAAAAGGACTTTGATAACTAATTTTACAAGAAACCAGCATAATCAAATTGGTCTTCTGATCATCATAACAAGTTAACTTAATAAGCACTCATAAATACATCCTTTTCTAGCTTGGTAGAAGTCAAGAGAGAGTTCAACATAAGAAACATATTGACAGATAGATTTACAACCATTGGAAAATGACATGGCTTAATCCAAACTGTTCTGTACCTTTTTCCTTAATGTCTTTAATGAATGGAGCCATGGCCACTGAAATAAAGTCTGGTGCATATCCCATTTCCTGCAATTGTGAAGGAAGTCCATGTTAAAAATAAATATAAGGATTAAATACATAGAATTTTGAGGAAGATAATTCACAAGTTAGATAGTTGATGCCAGTGTCAATTGTCACATTGATAATGAAGAGGACAATGAAGACATTGCATTCTCTCTGTGCAAAAAACATTTTCGAATACTTAGCAGTATATGGGAAAAAAAAATTCCCCATATAAATATGATTAAGTATGGCTCTATTCTGATATTAAAAAAAGTTGGTTTCATAAATTCCCATGTAAAACTCTAATGCCCTAACTGAGGTCCAAGACTACCTTTAATACAGGTCATGATTTGAACAAACTTGGAAGCTAAAATCCTGTAGATTCCAGTACTAAAATGACTTATCATGGCCCTGCTGTTCTGTTTTTTTTCTATAATACCATGTAAAACTTTGATTCTTTGTTGAGGCCTACCCTATCCCTGGGAGATCAAGAATTTTAGAACATATTGGAATCTTTACTATGTAAAACATCTTAGTTTATTTTCAGTCTGTCTCAAGCAATCTGAGGAGGTAGGTCAAAGTTATAAATGTGAAAGGGTACACTTGCTCCAATGGTCACACCAACTCCAACATATATTCTTTGAAATTACATGTACAGTACTTATAAAACAAAATAACATATAATACAATAATGTACAATATACAGAAAAGACCATGGTAATGCACTGTCTGATTCTCATATTCAAATTACAATTGTAATATTAGAGTTTAATTCACAAATATATAATAATGTATCAAGCTTACACTGTTTTTATGCTTTGCTCCAATGAGTAAGGACATGGTGACCTCTGCCAGGTAGTCAAAGACCAGGTAATCAATCTGTCCTCCATAGATCAGCTGGGGAGCTGAAATAAATCATTCAGGTACCTCATAAATATGGTTCTGATGAGATTATAGATATGTACATCTGAACTTTGACATCTCGTATGTTGATATATCTTGAATTATGGATATGTCCATGTGACCTGGAAGTCGCAACCACTTTCTAATATGTGTTTTGACCTCAATATATAAAATCTGTGGATAATCCGATATTTTCTACCCATCTAGCTTGAGATTAGAATGTTTACCTGCAGTCTATTTGTGATACTATTAGTAAACTTTTTATTGACACAAAGAGATGTATCTTCAGTATTTTAATATGTTGACGGTGCGATCGTTAGAGCGAGCGCAAACTCTTCTATTGTTTTAATTTAGATCGGGCTCGTCAAACCGCATGTGACATTTGGTGCGTCTAGACTCTGACGTCACATGACGTCGTATGTAAGTTACATATACCAAGAAAAAACTGAACAGTGCTGAAAGTTAATGAAAAAAGTTACGTTTACTATCTATCTTCAATATTCATCCATTTAATCAAGGCGAGTAAACTTTTTGTTGAACATTTGCCGTCATTCTTGCGAGAACGCAACTTTACTAAGTGATGCATTGTGGGTCAAAATTACTGCGGCAAAAAATTCTAAAGAATGAATGTGCAGTCGTCCGAATTTTCTCTTCACCCAGGTGTTGTTGTTAGAGCTCGCAGTTACGAGCATCGCTTCGCGACGCTCGCTGCGCTCGCTATTAATCATCTAAAATAAGTATTTTGATAGACATGTGTTAACAAGAATTTTATAATTGGTGTATAAAATTAGAACCGGATCCGTAATAGTATAGACCTTCCTTAAATCCACTTCATACATTTGGTTATTTTGGTTAAAATTGGCCCTGTGGATTTAGAGAAAACAAAACCATGAAAAGTTTAAACAACATACACCAGAAGACAGACAAAGCAGAGGTGTCGGAAGCAAATTGAAGGGGGGGGGGGGGTACCAACAAAAAAAGTAAACTCCAATTTTCAATTGGCTCAGGTGAGCTAAAAAGTGGGATAAAACAACATAATGACTCATTTAAAACAGAAGACCTTAAATATCTAGATATATACTGTGTTTTATTTTAACATTATTAACATTATTGTCTAAAAAATTACTGTTTTATTTTATTTTGTTTCTTTAGTTTTTTTCTGACATTTTATTAATGAAGGTACCAAATGCCTTGGTGTCGAATCAACAGTCAAAGTAAACAACGTACCCGACACTGCAGTATCACCCCAGAAACCGCTTGCACATCCTATCCTAACAGTTTTACCTGGCAAAAAGCTTGAGTATTTCTTTTCATGTCTAAGCTGAAGACATGACAAAATAGGTAAAGATTTGCTTCTGTATATTTTTAGAGCATTCAGAAGCGGTGGTGCAAACAGTTTCATTTTCACTTCGTCTGCTGACCGGAAGTTGTGGTCGCTCATGCGCATTACATCATATGACAAGTTTCGTCACTTCTGCTAAAATGGATGACAGCATCATTTTCACAGACGGATAATAATTAGGCATATATATGTCTTAGAAGCTGATGGGTGCGTGAGCGCATCCGTATTTAGATTTTATTTCGTTACATGAACAGAAGATCCTTTTAAAAATGGCAGCAATCACAGAAACTGTGTATGGAACGTCTGAGGAAGGACATGTCATGTCCGAAAAGGTTTCCTCGTTAGCCACAAATATTTACAAAGAATTTGAGAGAATGATTAAAAAATACGATGAAGATGTGGTGAAAGAACTAATGCCACTTATTGTTGGGCTACTTGAGGGACTTGATCAGTCTCTTGCAGACAAGCAAGAAGCAGATGTTGAGTTAGAACTACTGAGAGATGATAATGAGCAGCTCCTTACACAGTATGAAAGGGAAAAGCAACTTAGAAAGGCTGCAGAACAAGTAAGTCAGACGTAGTAATATGCAAGATGCCATGAACTGGCCATGAAAGGGTTACAGTGTTGCAAAAGTATTTTCGGTCAAATCAGATTGTTTAGTGTGTGCAGGACCTACACACTAACATTAAATAGACATAAAATAATTGTATCAGTCCAGAATTAAAAAAAAAATGATAATAATTATTTAAAATGTCTAATGAGGAAATATGCTTGTATTAATAAACTGTATAGGTGGTGAATCTAAAGATTGATGCCAAATAGTTCAAGGGTCAACATGGTCAAGAGTCCTTAAAAAATTCTAAGGGGGTCAAGTTCCGTTTAAGTTATTGCTTTTTGGCCACGAAAAGTTTTGAAAGAAGTACATGTTGTTACTCTATCTCAGAAGCACCAATCATTCAAATTTTTGTGGTTAAAATTGATTTTTTTTCCTGATGATGAATATTAAAGAAGTTTACTGTGGGTAGGTCTGTTTCAGTGTTTGTTATGTTTGAATTTCATTGGGTGACCCTAAATGTTATTTTAATTCTGGTAGTGAAATTTTAATGTATGATCAATGAATTGCCTATGGATTATCATTATCATGTTTCATTTTGTCTTAGAAATACTTGGAGATGGAGGATGCTGTTGAAGGAGAAAAGAAATCCATGCAAGATAAACTAGAAAGCCAAGAGTCCGTCATAAGGATGCTTGAATTAAAAGTAAAAAATTCTGCAGATCATGGTGAGAGTCCATATTGATTACATAGAAATACCATGGTTAAGTGAAAAAAAATGTTATCAAATGTCAGTCCATTTGCACTTGTGGTTTTTAAAAATTTTGGTTTTTAATAACAAATCAGTTCAGCATCTTTTTTTGAGGCAATTACATTGTAAGATTTAAAGCAGATTTATTATATTAATGTTTAAGAAACAATATAATTTTATGTCTTTTATCACTAGTAATAAGTATATTATTTTTTATACTTTAAATATGATGTCCTTAACTAACATAACTAATGCTTCTTTTAATAATAGTGTCTAGGATGGAAGAAAAAGAAGTAGAATTGAAGAAAGAATACACAAAGCTACATGAAAGATACACAGAGGTGAGATACCAGAGTTTCTAGCATGTTCACATCTTGATAATTTATACTAGTTATTACTCTTTATACTGTCCTTTTCAAAGTGTTTGAAATTGTTGTGTATTGTTGTAACTAAATCTATGGGGGGGGGGGGGGGGGGGGGGTTATCTCTAGTAGAGTTCTATTTCAATTTTCATGATAAGACCATTCCAGACCAAGTTTTTTCTATATTAAGAATCCTTGTGAGTCATAGTTTTTGATAACCCCTGATCAGAAAAGCAAGCAAAATTAGGAGTTCAGTTAGTGATTTTTTAGTTGAAACAAATTTGAATTCTATCTACGTCTTATATACATGTATTTGTCTAAAACCTGTCGTATTTAAGTAATTGAGGCAGTGACCTACAGTTATAACAGTTACTTTCTTTTTCTTGCTTGTTGTGTGATCAAATAAGTTTTTCTCAATATGCAAGATATTTATTGAATAAGAAAATTATTTTGCTGTTTAGCTATTTAGATCACATATGGACTACATGGAAAGAGCCAAGATTGTCATGGGCTCAGACAGAATGGAAGTATCCAACAGTCCTCGTTCTAAGTAAGTTATGCATCATCCTTGATCTGTAAATATAGACCATTTTCAAATATATTTCATTATAAATTATTTACTTTCTTTACAAAAATAAGATGCTGGTTCATGGAAAAAAATCTTGTTTAAGAATTTCCTTAGATTTTGTGTCTTATACTGTTATAAAGTGCCTTTTATGACAAGTAATGAAGTTTTGAAATATTATCTCTACAAATCAATCTTACAACAAATTTACATGAAAAATGTCTGAATATACCCAAAAATTATTGCAGGTTTCCTTTCAGTATGCATGTCAACATGTATGGGGTTTTTTCTTTAAATAAATTATGTTATTCAGGGAAGAGTATGATACATGTAATTAATCATGGAAATGTACTACAATTTATAATACACATGAAAAAAAGAAACAGTGTATTCCAGTTTGCAACATACATAAAATAATATAAAGACAGTATAGCATACTATTTAAATGTACTCGTTTTTGTGTGGTAAAAAGCCTGAGAACAGTAGGCGTTCAGACTCGGATGTTACTGCTGAGGACTGATAGTGAGAAGAGTGACCTGGATTCTCTCCCTTATCGCCAAACAGAGCCAGTGTTAGGGTACCACCTCAAAGAGCATGACATACATTTGTCTTCGATGACTTCATGTCTTCAGATATTTAATGCCATCTTCTATTCTGTTACTTACGTTTTCAGCATACCCAATCCAGTGCATCACTATGTATCTCTGATAACTGGGTTCTATTGAAAAGACCTAAGATATTCAAATCTTCATAAATTTCTTTTTATTGTTTGGCCTTGCATCTATTTTGAATGCCTTGCTATGAATATGAATTCAGAACTAAACAGAATATTGTAAAGAATCTCCAAAATTATTCAGTTATTGGACAATATTAATACTAATTGATTCATTCTTTTTTATATAGCAAATTCTCTCGATTTATGGATATAAAAATATAGCTTTTAGTGTTTGTGCAAATATCTATTTCAGAGAAACTTTGATTTTTGTTGTTAGTAAAGTTTAGAATTTATAGAATCTTTATATTCATGAAATGTGTTAATGAACATACAAAGTCATACAAAGTGAAAATGGCTTCTTAGTAAACCTTTATATTTTATTAAGTACATGTATTCATTAATTTAAAGAAAGTTTAGTGTACATGTATGATGAATAAAAACATTTGTCAATTATTACAGAGGAGGATTTCAGCTACCCAGTCTGCGTCCAGTCAGTATTGCCTATGGTCAAAACATCTCGGCTCGGCCAGGAAGTACACCTCCAAGCTTTAGCAGTTTCGATGACATGATGTCACCGCAAAGTGTGGCAGACTCCAATGTTAGTCTACAAAGTGAGCTTGGAGAACTGGAATCTCCCCGCGGTGCCAAAGACAAGCAGAAGGAGACAAAGATGTGTGACCAGGGTCAAGTGACGGACAGTATTAATGTCAGAGAATTTGCCACCGCTACAAGTATGTCACTATCTGTGTTGTGTTTTATTGGCTTCTTGCACAGGTTTTTAAGTAGAAATTCTTTATTGTTGTGGCTTAACTATTTTATCAACAATATTTTAATGATTCTGAGTTTCGCATTCCGTTGTTGTGATCTGTTTAAGAATCTTTTAAACAAACTTGTGTGTTGTTCAAGAGAAAAGATTTTAAAGAGAAAAGATGCACATTTGCCTGATTGGTTTACTGTGGATAATTTATGCTAAAGATGAGAAAGTCTTGTAAATGAGGTTAAAATTATTCTAACTGTATACTGTATACAGGGAAATTTTCGCTCCCTTCACCCTACCCTTATTTTGACGAATTTAAAACAGGGCGAATTCAAAGAATTCAGTGTAATTACTTAAACAAAACTATGACTGGGTGAATTTAATGCAAGTATGAAAGGGCGAAAGTAACATGGGCAAAAATAACCCTGTATACAGTATTTCTGGGAAAGATGGCTAACACTCAGGTTTTTGAGATTATTTTTTCTCCATTTTGTTATGGAATGATTGTTTTCATTCATCTTTTTATGCTTATGTTTGTTTTTTTCTTGTTTTTTATGATTTGCATGATTTGAGTTCATTTGATTTTTTATGCAGAACCTAAGAATAATACTGAAGAAAGTAGCAGTGCGACACAACCAAAAGATTCTCAGGAAGTGAAAGTAGAAAAAGACAATCAGGGTTCTAATGAAATAAATACTCAAGTATCTGAAAGTGAAACTAAAACTATAGTGTCTCCTGAAGTCAGTGATAGTGCAGCTAGTCAAAATTCTCAACAAGTCACTCAGTCCAGCGAGAGGACTGAAGTTACAATAGAGAGTGATAGTAAATCAGTCACTGTAGAAAAGTCAGATAATAAAGTCTCAGACAATCAGACTGTTACTAGTTCCCCTGAAGTTATAAAACCTACCTCTGAGTTAAAGGCATCCACCCCCCACCCCGAGGACAGTAATAGTGGTAGGGAAAGACATGATAGTAGATTAAGTATAGAGGAGGAGGAGGCAGAGTTTGAGGAAGACAAAATTATGGGTAAGTTTAGGGGGAAAAATTCTTCTTTCTTTCTTCTCTTATTTTAGTTTCTGTCATTTTTCATTATTTTTTCCTAAATTTTTTTTTTTCAGTATATTTTGCAATAACGGATGTTAAAAATTTTTTGATTGTGATTAGATTTCAGTCATAGCATTTATACGCCAGGTAAAAGGCCACAGTTTATATTTTAATGCCAAATAAATAATAATGCTTAAATCTAGCAACAACCTCAAAACAAGCTTAGATATTTTAAAATTTTAAAAATGCTCCTTTTACACACACACCATTATTTTTGTATAAAACTATATAAACAAACACTTCCTTTGCAAGTTCATAAACTTGTACTTGCTCTACTCCAATGTAGCACATTGCCTTGTATGATGGTAACAGTTTAAAGATCATAATCATAAACATTAAGTATTCTATTGTTTTACTAATAAATTTGTATACCATTTATATGTGTATTATCTCTTGATTCTTGAGATATTATTTTTAAAGATAATTTTTCTCTTTTATTCCCTGCATTGCTTCCTTGTGAATATTATCTTGGTGGTAAGTAATTCACCCTGTCTTCCTCTTCATATGTTGTGCATTAGCTAAATAAAAAACAGTAGTGCATGAGTTTGTGCAATAGGAATTGAACTGAACTATGTACATTGTAGGTTTGGATCACACTTTGGCTAAAATTATAGCTACAACACCAGAGCTTCAAGAAATGGAGGAATCTGTGTCAAGTGTTTGGTCAACAAAATCCAGAGGAGGACCGTAAGTATTCGAAAGAATCCCAAGCTTTTTAGGTTTTTAGCTCAAGTTAGCTGAAAGCTTTGGCAAAGAAATGATACATGTATTTGAGCAGATCCCTCCATCCATAAAAATACATAAAAATTGAGTGTTTATACTCTAAAGAAAAAGTTCTATCATTACAGAATTGCACATTTTGAACTAGAGGTTGTGCTTTAAATGAATTGAAAAAAAAATTTTTGGCAATGTTTAGGAAATTTTCAAGATGTGGGATTAATGCCAAATTTCATGACATCATTTTTCAATATACGTGTAGTCATCAACGGTCCAAGACTCTAAGGCCTAGAAAAAAAATATGTTTGTTTCCGCTTTCCCGACCGACCCTAATTTATAGCTGACCCTAAAATTTTTTTTAATGCTTTTGTCCCATGATGTGCAAGATTTCAACCAGGGAATTATAGCCTCCAACTTTGCAAGCTTTTCAAGACAGAAAGAAGTTTGGGTCACCTTTCTATTATAAGTTAAGTCACAGTAATGCTTGAAAACACCATTTCTTTTGTCATTAATGTTACTTCTATACACATTCTGATAAAGAAGCAAAAAATTTTTTTTCAAAAAAAAAAAAAATTGCCTACCTACCTACCCTATATTTTTTCAGCCTGAAAGCGGAAACAAACATATTTTTTTTCTAGGCCTAAGTGATATTGAGTGCAACGACACCTAAAACTAAGAAGTTTTGATTTTGCAGAAATTCACAGCAAAAGAAAAAAAGCCTTAGTGTATTCTCTCTTTTATAATATACATATGTATTTAGATAAAATGCTAATTACTTTTGAAGAATTATAAATCATCATCCTTTTTTTCCAGGAGAAATAATGAATCCATATTTGAGGAGCTGCATTCTCAGGATACAGAGATCATTGGGGATAACTTTGGCATCACAGGTAAATTAGAGCTGATGGGGACACATCATTTAACCTTTATAATTAAACTTTTATATTTACAGTAGTTAAAGCATGTGTGGTAAAATGGAAATTTAATTTAATAATGACAAAAATAATCACAGTAGTATTTAAATTAAAAAATGTAAATAATACACATATTAGACGTAAAATAATTTGGTTTAGTTGATAAAAGTCTATTAATGTGGTGTAAATCTGTTAACTTTTTGTCCTGCTAAAGGACGGGAGGTAAACCCTGGAGACTATGCCTCATCAGGTATGGTATCATCGGGACATTATCTGTGTCTGTCTAGAAGTGTCATATATCTGTCTGTTTCTGTTTGGGTAGTGACTCTTTCCTTCAGTATTCATTTAGCATAACCTCAGACATCAACGCATCAAATTGCCTGGATACTAAGTTCATATATTATGAAAGTGTACATGTTTTAACAGCATGCTTTTAAAGAAATAACACACAGACAAGTTGTACCTGAAAGCAAAGTTTTTACCCCAAAAATAAATAAAATTGGTATCTGTATATTCCAATTTGAAGATCAAGATCTAAATGAATGAAAGAAACCTTCAGGTTTCTCAAATTTTAGAAATGAATTCCTCTAATGATGCTATATAACTATAGCTTCGTCAAGTAGGTGCATTGGGGCAGGGTTAACTAGACAAAAATTCTAAACTGTCCATTTGAATAAAAACTGAAGAAAATCAGTCTATAGCGCATGGGATTTTTTATCCATATCAGACGAAAAAAATGTATCCAGATTTTCTGCAGTATCCCAGACAATGGTAATGTTCCTGTCCCTCTTCCTCCAAAAAGAAATTAAAAAAAGCTATCAGGATTAGTTTTCACATGATTTCAAATTTGAAGTCCATGAAAATACGTTATGTTCTACTTGATTCCATTAGAATCAAAGCATAAATAAAAAAGAAAGTTAAAATTGGTCATGATGTCATAGCAGAAATAGCACCAAAAAGACTGACTAGATCTTGTCCTGAAGATTTGCTGATGTTTGCAGGTACTGCCTGTCTCATTTGCTGAATATACAGTTAATTCCTGATTTCTGTGTTATCTTTTTGAAAAATAAGTATAACCATCAAATTTAGAGCTATAACTACAGGAGCATTTAACCTGATAGTGAACTCTCTGATATATGTAGAGTTTATCATTGTGTACATGGTAAATGGTATATTTAGCACTGAAACCTAGTTATTAGTAGAACAATTATTTATTATTCAAATTCTCATATGCATAGTTAATTGTATATAGTGCTTTCTTATGACAGTCTTTAACCAGGCATTATTCTGAATATATATTCACTTAACAAGCATCTTGAAGATTGAATGAACGAATAAAATCAGATATACATATATCTTATTTTTGCCAGAAATAAAATCTAAGAACCTTGGTATGAATCATTAAGATTTATGAAGTTAAATAGCATGTTGTTCCTACGGTATTTCACTGAAACAATAGAGAGAATGATGAGTTGTAAAAGAGCCAGAAATTGATTTTGTAGAACACAAAGAAAATCTCCAACAATTCCTGATTCTCTCTGTGTCTTTTTCCTGTGTTTGTCGTTGCTGTTGTTGTTTGTGTATTTTATGTTTATAATGCATGCTTATTTATTTTGTTGTATTAGACTCTGAAAATGAGGATGAAAGTGAAAGACGTTCTACTGGTATGCACTTCAGAATACATATATACCATTTATCAGTTTATGAATTATGTTACAGTTTTTCTATATAATAAATAATTTGTGCATTTTGATGAATAATTTTTCAGCTGAAATTGAAAATAGTAAACATTTTTTTTTCCTGATAGAATGAAGACATTAAAGTTGACCTTTAAAAAAAGGGGTTAATTAATGAAATAAAGAAGCATACAAATATTAATTATAAACATGATGTAAATTTGTGCATGATTGCCAGTTACATGTGCATCTGTATAATTATTTTCATTAACAAATTTGATTTTTTTTTTATTTTCTACCAACAGTGAGTGATAACTTCTTTGGTAAGTGTACTTGTCTAGTCACCACTGAAATACTTTAGTGTGATAACTGAAATACATGTATTCTTTTTTTTCTAAAAGTCATGATTTAGTCAGGTTATAGTGTCATCAAGCTTTTACTTTACCATAATATTTTATTATAGGAATGGGAAAAGAACTAGAGAACTTAATTCTAGAAAACACAGAATTACTAGAGACAAAGTAAGTTTAATGAAGTATTTAATACTGTCATGAAGTTATGAATCAGTACTTGCACACTGTTTTGTATTCAATTTCTAGTTTTAGAGAAAAATCAAAATGTTTGCAGGTATAACCAGAGTGGGAAAAGCACCCCAATACTGAACTCTCTATGAGTGAATTTAACTTAACGATGAATACTGTTTGTTTTATTTAGGAATGCTTTAAACATTGTCAAGGATGACTTGATTGCCAAAGTGGATGATCTCTCTGGGTAAAACTTTATTTTTATTTTGGTGATTTATTGATAGGAAAACTTGTATCTATCTGTAAAGTTCACATTTGAATATATACATGTACACGAAGGATAGTTTCATTTTGAAGATATTTTCAATACAAGTAAAATATTTGATTTATATTTAATAAACCAGCATTAAACATTTTAACTGTTTTCTTGCAGTGAGGTAGAAATTCTTAAGGAAGAAATAAATAACCTACAAGGTGTAAAAACAAAGTTAAATACAAGGATAAAAGAATTAGAAGATGAACTCAAGAAAACCAAGGAAGAACTGGAGAAGAAAAACAATGCAGCCAAGGAAGGAGAAGAGGAGGTGAACATCTTGGTTTTACTGTGGAAATTTGTTACCTTTTTTGGGGGGTGGGGGGATGGGGTTGTTAATTGTAGATCTTCAATATTTATAAAAAGAAAATTGTCAAGCATTGGTTGTTTCCTCAGTAGTTTCATTGTTGAATTTGTTTAGCTGATGAAAGGAAATAAGTTTATAATTAAACCTCTTTGGAAAGGGCATCATACTCTCATTACTCTGAATTGTGTGAGATTACTTATTTTAAGAGCTGTTTGATCCCTGTAGGATGATGTACCGATGGCCCAGAGGAAGAGATTTACCCGAGTGGAGATGGCCCGAGTCCTGATGGAGAGGAATCAGTATAAGGAGAGACTGATGGAGCTACAGGAGGCGGTCCGGTGGACGGAGATGATCCGGGCCTCCAGGGAACATCCGGAGGCCTCCAGTAGTCCACAGAAACAGAAAAAAGGATCCGTCTGGAACTTGTAAGTCCTCAGCAAAATACAGTACAAGTACATTATTCTGACTCTTAATTTTCCTTACTTGAAAAACTTTGAAAAATCTTTCATTGAAAAAAGAGGTGGGTTATTTATTTATGCTTTATAATAATGTCTACAATACTTAATAATGTCTCTGGTTCTGTACTAACAGGCATGGATGTTAACTGGCCTGATGTTTATTTTTAGTTTCAGTAACCTTGTAGCTCCAGCCCCTCCTGTGCCTCCTCCTTCTAACAAAGCTAGTCCTAGTCGCAGCGGCAAACACAGGACACAGATTATTTGATTAATTGTTTTATTCTGAAAGCCTCAGTTCTAGTTCCATTACCTTAGGAACAGTCAGAGGGCTTCCTACTGATGGATCTCTTGAAAAATATTTTTATTGACTTTATTACTTAATATGCTATAAATGCAAGTCTGAATTCCATTGTATGACCATTAATTTTAACTCTCAACATTTTTTAAGATTTAATGAATACTATAATCAAAAGGTGCTACTTAATAAAGAACTGAGGTTACATGTAAACATGGAAAACAAAAACCAGTTTGTTTAAATGACTGTGTTCATTTACATATATGTGTTGAACTAGTTTATGTTTGGACATCTCTTAAGAAGAGGATTTGTTTCCATGTTTACATTGTTGGGGAAATTTGATGTTTCCTTAAATGTTTTTAAACATACAGAAATCAATAGGGATCAAAATTAATTCTGACCAATGGTATTAAACAGTCAAGATCCATGTTGCTCAATGTAATCAAATTTTTGTGTTGAAATGAGGGTAATAACGTGCCAGGGATCAGTAATTGAAACTTTGATCCTTACTGATAAATCTAAAGAAAGTTTCTCTTTTGCAGAAAAGCAATGTTTTTGCATGATATTTCAGCAGTGGCAGCTATTTTTTTTTCATGTTGCATGAGTTCATTCTGTCATTTTGATCCCTATTATTTCTGAAAAGTTATTGATTTTTACGTATAATTTCTGTTTGTTTTGTTCATGTGTTCAATGTTTTATTGTTTTAAGAAGAAAAAAATTGTTGTGATCCAATTCTAATGTGATATTTTTATTAATTAAAATTCTTATACATAAATGATTTTTTATTCAAATACCTGTGATCAAAATGGCAGATAATTAAAAAATGTGATTACTGAAACCATTAAAATGGTGGAGGAAGCAAACATGTGATATGGTTGTGGAAACATTACAAAAGTTCCCTTTCTGTTTACAGACTAAGTTACTGGACACATTCCAAGGGTGGAGATTGATGGAGAATTAAAATTTATATTGTTTTATAATAAACATATTTATACAATTGATGGACTTCCGTATATATTTCTTACCAAAATGTTTCCACTACCATAGTGCATTGTTTACTTTCCAAAACTGCATGCCTCAGGGAAACAAAGGCCAATTCCAAATATGGGCAGTGTTTCAGCTTCATTGCATGAACATTATATATCATCAATGTAGATAGTTCAATACTAATAAAGTACCTAGAGAGCTGGAGTACCTTGCTTACCGCAATAAAATTTATCTCATCCAGCCATGAAAGGTTCCATAACAAACATATTATGGAAACATATCTACTAAGGGACAAAAATATTTTGTCTGAGTAATTTGCAAACCAGATTGCATGAGATCTGGATTGAAGTTTTATTTCATGTACAGCCTACTCCGGATATATTGAAATTCAGGGAACCATGCAAATTATTTCAATATATCCGTAATTCAAATAAGCGAAATCGTGAAGCCGCCATTTTTTCATTAAAAGTTCAATCCCAATCTAAAAATAAAGAACAAACCCAAACAAATTAATTTTGTCAACGTTTACCTATAACAGTGTACAGATTATATGGAAAATTAGTCCTTGAAAGTTTAAATAAAGTTGTTTCTTTCTTTTTTATCGATAAGACAATCTTCAACTTCATTATTATTCCCCGATCGCATTTATTTACATTTTGGAGAAAAATCACCGATGTCAAACTGTTGAGTACTGCTGAACGCTGCATGTATTTCATCGTAAGTGTACTCGGGTTGATCTCTTAGCTATTTCGAATTTAAGTTTATCATTAGCTATTAACAGAACGTATTTAATTTGAAAATGAAGTTTTTTCTAGATCTGTTGGGGTTACTATGTTGCCTTTAGCCTAAATACTTCCGTATTATATACATATGGAAACAAAGAAATTTTAATTCGTAAGAACATGCAGTATAAAAACACATAAGGTGAAAACTTAATTATTCACACCTTTTTATATCAATTAGTCAGTCAGGCATAATTTCTGTCACCAACCGTAACAACAGCCGCCAGGGAGTTCTTCAATATAACCGTTATGAAAACAACTCATTATCACCTGTGGGGACCGATCAGTGGCTTCAATATAAGCGAAATTTCATGCAAAGGGTATGAGAGTCAAAAACGGGGGATTTATTTTTATTTCAAAATAAGTGGAATTTCAAAATAAGCGAGTTCAATATAAGTGGAGTATGCTGTATATGTAAAACAATCTGGAATCAATGATCTCATATCATTATATGATATCTAATTACCAATGAAAAAGCATGACTTGGGAACAAATCACTCTCTCCTGTCTTTAATGGATTTTGCATTGAATAAAAAGACGTTCAATTCTCAGTTAGAACATATAGATTCAAGTGAAGTGATGAAAATTCATCTTCATTTATCTACCAGTATCTATTGAGGAAATAGATGTAGTACAGATAATGATCTGGTATGTCAAGTAAAGGTATGACCATTGGAGGGAAATGTAGCATTCCTACATTTATACTGTTCTAGCCAACAAGGAATACTTGTAACATTGCTGGATATCCTAGTTTGTACGTTTTATTTATAACATTGAAACTCTAGATACATACAGTATGATTTAAAAGAAAATTACCAAAAGGCAGCCATAAAATGTTGGATTTTTCTAATTTGCCAAATAGTTCATGATCAACTTGTCAATGCTAGGTAGATTAAGTAAAGAGGGGGGGTCATTATAAAACTTAGACAAGTTCACTTTTGACTCAAGTCTCATTTTACCCAATTACATTCCTTTTCTTATTTAAAGTATGACCAACTACAGCCACAAGAAAGTCCTCCATACTGAGTTTGCCCTTGTTCATGAATTAAATTTCTTCTTCATGTAAAATAATTCTTCTGTGATAACTTGGGTCAGTGTAATGTTGAAATACAGTGAAACATTTATAATCCAAACTTATTGGGACCAAAATACCGTATAAGTGGAAATTTTAGCGAGACGCAAATTTAGCAATTTCTACCTAAAACCTGGTAATTTATTTTTAGCGAGAAGTAATGTTAGCGATTTTAAAATGCTAACTAAAGAAGCCATTACAAATAATACGCAATTAATTTTTAGCGATATTCAGTTTTAGCGATGTCAGCACCCTCGCTAATAATGCCAAAATTAAATCCTTGCTAAAAATTCTACTTATACTGTAATACCTCAGAATATCTAAGATGGAGATATCCAGGTAAAATGTGTAAGTTGATCCAAATCTAATATCAAGACTGCTATAAAAGCTTTAATAAAGAAAATTTTCATCATAGTTATAATACTAATACATTGATCTATTTTGACTTTTGCTCTAATATTTTATTCAGATATATGATATATAAGAATAAGCACAATGTTTGGTCTGTATTATCACAAGAATTAACATGCATATGTCCTTTCTCTTTGACTTTGGATCTTATGATATGTATACAAGATTTACTCAGAAAGATATTAATTTAAGAAGAACGTTTGGTCAAAGTTTGTATAATTTCAACACTACAATCAAAACAAGAAGGTTTTTAGCAAAATGGTAAAAGATTTATTTCAAAGAAAGATGATAGGAATTAAAAAGTTATGTGGATGCATTGAAAATGAATGCTGAAAATTAATGTATAAAATTTTAAGACAAAAGTCTGAAGAAGATAGGGATATAATTATATATATTTTGAAACTATTTTTGGATCAACCCCAAAACAGAATGAATAAGATTTTTTTTTTTACTCCAAATCACTATGACCTAAGTGCACTCAAGCTATTGTGAATGAAGATACTGAAGCTCATCTGTAAAAAAAAAAAACAAAACAATTTTGGATGTTAGTGCTGTTTTGGTAGTCAGGCAGGTTTGATGCCAGTGGCCAGAAAGCTCAGTTTGCAGAGCCCCTGATTACACCTGTCAGGGAAGAGCCAGGATTAGTGTTTGGGGACAGAGACCATTAAGGGGGAGGAATGTGGATGTCAGACTGATTTGATTGTCATTTTCCAAAAAGCTCAGCTGGTAGCATACTAGGACTTCAGGGGGCCCATGTTTCTCATCATGGTCTGGTCTGTCACATTATTTTCTCCTTTGCTGGTTACACTTTATTATAATTAGATGTTGCTAATGATAAATTTGTGTATGAACCTTTTACAGCTTCAGCAACCTATTCAGCAGTAGTTCACCCAGTAAACCAAGCAAGAAGCCCAGCAATGTACCGATAGCCACCATCAAGTACAACGCCCCCACCACCCAAGTCCAACCCGTGGGGGACCCCAACAGGAGGTCACGAGAACTGTATAAAATGGGGGACAAGGCTAAAGCCTACGACTTCCTACAGGATGATCTGTAAGTACTGGGACCAGCAATCCTATAGCATTACATTACACAGAGTGCCAAAGTCACAGCGCTACAATTTAACTCAAACTAGCTCAAAAGAAAAGAGTGTTATAATCAAGATGAAATGTTTCACGTTTTTGAGTGAATTAATGCATGACCAGCATTGAAATGGCATACATTTCAAGATTTGCTAAATCAGTCACTGGCTAAATGGTTGCCTATAATTTTGTGGTATAATTTTTGTTTTCTTATAGTAGTTTGATTTTATTTTTGGTTACATATATTCTATTATTTGGTTTTTGCTTGAAAGTATTTTGACCTATACTAAGTTCTAATATTGCACTTTCACTATTGATAAAGGACACGAATCAGTTCATCCAATGTTCAAAAATTATTAGAAGAATTACAAGACAAGAAAAAGTATGTATTGTAAATACTGGTTTATACATGTATCCTGTTTGTGGCATAATTTTTGCATGTCACGTTCACTTACAGGATAATCTTTGTCACATGTAAATAAAGTTAAATATTGTGCATGGTGAATGTAAGCATTTAAAATATCATTCCGAAAGCCCTATTTACTGCATGAAAAGATTTTCCTCTAGTCATGAACATGTTTTATTCAATTTCAAAATTACAACTTAAAAGATACAAATGCTTCAATGGACTATATAGATGGAGACTAAAGAAATGTTTGTACAAAGATTTGGAATGATATACATGTATTCTAGAGCTTCAGTTAGCTACTCCAACATGAAAAACAAAATATTATTCAGCAAATGTGGCAAATTTTTTAAAATGAAATTTCAGAGAAAAACTGATAATTCTGACACAGTAAGACTTCCAAAATAGTAGGACATATCACTGTTTACATAATCCTTTAAATTCCCCCATATTTTGTGTTCGTATGTTGATCAGAAACTTTATTTCTTGACCTAGATCTGCAAGTTTTGTACATGTTGAGGCAACAGATGCAGGGTAGGGGCATATCACAAAATCAGCTGATCAGCTTTGATAGACTAGCTAATGATGCATGAGTTTCACAGAAACAAAGTTCTCCAGAAAAAAATAAATGCCTATTAACCTTTCCTGTCTCACTATTCTAATAGTTATTTCTACAAATTGCTGCTAAGTATCACCAACTAAACAATCTTGCTTGAAACCTTGTCATCTTTAATATCAAAATAAGAATAACATTTCTTTTATTTAAAAAAAAAAAGAACCCATACTTTTATGGAATCATTTTCAACATCAGTATCAGTACCAGTTCATGCTTTGGCTTAAAACAGTACTTAAACTATTTTCTACCTGCACAGAAAAATGTACTAGCTATTATGAATACCTGTTTGCAGTGCACAACAATTCTACTCAAATATTCTACAAACTACACATTTTCTTATAATATTTAAGTTTGTAATTGCCTATTTAAATTTAATATTTTACTATAAATTTGTTAATATTGAATTCTATTGACAGAAAAGGTAAATATCTTCAAATATAATAAAGTTCTCTTTTGAAATTTTGTATGAATACTATTTCATATTGTTGAATAATCAATAACTGGTGCTAAAACGAAGAAAATGGATTGAATTCACAAAAAGTTGTTATTGTAAAAGAAGACATGTGCTATTAAAGGTGGAAAATAATAATTTTAAAGACATATCAGCTTTATTAATCCGATTTTGATGACCGAGTTAAGGACCATGCTTAGTACTGTTACCCTGGTTTGTAGGGTTTGGGAATGGTTGTCAAGTGAAGCCTCACTCTGGCATTGGCCCTTTATTGATGAAGATAAGTCGTGCAAAGAAAGCTTTCTCTGCAGACTTCTGTACTAAAATCCACTCTGTTATATCCTTATATTTGCTTTGTTTTATTTTGTTTTATATATATTATTTGCTTCACTGCTACCAGGACTTGATTTTGAGTTTTGTGTTTCACCAGAGCCAGTAAAATAGAATCACTACTAGAGGACCCTGTCATAACCTCTCAGCCCAAGTAGGTTACACAGAGTTCATACTAACCTAACACCTAATATTACTCTATTACTCAATACATAGTTATCCATTCCTTATGTTATAAGCTGCATTGTATTTGTGCCTGATTCATTGAACAGCTTTGGAATGGTAAGTCATGAGTTAGCACAAAAGCAATGTCTTTATAAGTCAATTGGATGTCTGTTACATATTTAATTAATATACATGTAATGCAAAATCACAAAAGTTGTATTCTGTAATAGGATACCAATACTGAGAATCAGCTTACTATAGCATGTACTGCAAATAAACTTGTAAAATTTTAGTTTTTGAATAATAAAACTTCGAAAGAAAATAATTGCTTTGGAAAGTAAGTTTATAGATCTTGATATTCACTCATGTTAAAAATCAGACATTCATAATGATTATATATGATGTATTTACATGTCAATACATATACTGGTTGTGATTTATACAATGTTCTGTTCCAACAAACGGAAAATTTGTGTTATAACAGAAGAATCAAGTACCAATATGTGTATCTCTTATGTTGTTACCATGATTCAGAACAAGTATTTCTAGGGAGAATGTAAAGAAAACATTGTACATGTCACACCATTCCATCACTGAAATTATACTAACATACTTTCACCATATAATACACTAGCTTACAAAATAATGCTGTATACAGGGAAATAACCTCTTTCTCTTTTTAGCTCACCTGAGCCAAAGGCTCAAGTGAGCTTTTCTGATCACAATTTGTCCATTGTCTGTCGTCATTGTCTGTCATCGTTGTCGTCATAGTTGTTGTCGTTGTAAACTTTTCACATTTTTGACTTCTTCTCAAGAACCACTGGGTCAATTTCAACCAAACTTGCCACAAAGCATCCTTGGGTGAAGGGGATTCAAGTTTGTTCAAATGAAGGGCCAAGCCCTCATTCAAGGGGAGATAATTGGGAATTAATGAAAATTTGGTGATATCTTTTAAAAATCTTCTTCTCAAGAACCAAGAAACACTGCCAGGAAAGATGAAACTTATGGGGAAACATCATCAGGTAGTGTAAATTCAAGTTTGTTCAAATCATGACCCCCCGGGGGTAGGGCAGAACCACAATGTGCCGACCAAAATCTTACATAGAAATATATAGGAAAATTCTTTAAAAATCTTATTCTCAACAATAGCAAAGCCATAACTGATCATATTTATATGGAAGCATCCTCAGATAGTGTAGATTCAAGTTTATTCAAATCATGACCCAGGGGGTAGGGCGGGGCCAAAATGGCCAACCAAAGTTTTACATAGAAATATGTAGGAAAATTCTTTAAAAATCTTCTTCTCAAGAATAACAAAGCCATAATTGATCATATTTATATGGAAGCTTCCTCAGTTAGTAGGTGTAAATTGAAGTTTGTTCAAATCATGACCCCCGGGGGTAGGGCGGGGCCAAAATGGCCAACCAAAGTTTTACATAGAAATATATAGGAAAATTCTTTAAAAAAATCTTCTTCTCAAGAATAGCAAAGCCATAATTGATCATATTTATATGGAAACATCCTCCGGTAGTGTAGATTCAAGTTTGTTCAAATCATGACCCCGGGGGTAGGGCGGGGCCAAAATGGCCAACCAAAGTTTTACATAGTAATATATAGGAAAATTCTTTAAAAATCTTCTTCTCAAGAATAACAAAGCCATAATTGATCATATTTATATGGAAGCTTCCTCAGTTAGTACGTGTAAATTGAAGTTTGTTCAAATCATGACCCCCGGGGGTAGGGCGGGGCCAAAATGGCCAACCAAAGTTTTACATAGAAATATATAGGAAAATTCTTTAAAAATCTTCTTCTCAAGAATAGCAAAGCCATAATTGATCATATTTAAATGGAAGCATTCTCAGGTAGTGTAGATTCAAGTTTGTTCAAATCATGACCCCCGGGGGTAGGGCGGGGCCACAATGGCCAATCAAAGTTTTACATAGACATGTATAGGAAAATTCTTTGAAAATCATCTTATAAAGAATAGCAAAGCCATGATTGGTCATGGGACTACTTTTGGATATAAACTATTCAATAATAAACCAATTTCTACTTTTTCCCAGCCACAGTGCTCAGGTGAGCGATGTGGCCCATGGGCCTCTTGTATTTTGCTCCTCATCAGTGAGCAAATTCAAACGGCAAATTCAACGAAAACTTTATAATATCTTTACCTCAAAACAACCATGTCTGGGTTAACTGAAGAAACATCATTTCTAAGTGAAATACCGTAGTGTAAATATACAACATTGCCAACCAACCCTGTATACAGTAGTTCACCACTAAAAGCACCAAAAATTTTAACAATCAGATGTTTATTTTCTGCAATGGGCATTTGTATATAAGAATATATCTAGATTTCAGGGTTATAGTAGATGGTTATAAACATTGCATGCCTCTAGCATAATGGGAGATGTTCAGTAGTTTTCATTTTTTACTCTTTGTCACACAGACGAGCTATAAAATAAACCAAGAGCAAAGAAAATATTTAAACATTTCTAAAAAGGCCTGGTGTGAATTTTTTTTTTTTAATTTAAAAGCTAGATTTTAATAACTAGTGATCTTTTTAAAGTAAATTTTAATTGAAAATTTCCCATTGTAAAGCCAGTACATTGTATCTACATTTTCCCTTCCTTAATTATATTGACAGCTATTTTAGATTGCGTTATTTAATCTTGCTTTTAATGTCATTAAATCATATTAAGGAAAAAATGCAGCAATTAAAACATCATTTTAAAACAGGTATGGTAAAACTGATTATACACCTTACTTCAGTATGTTAATTGTAAATGAGTATATCTTTATTTAGAAAATTTTGTGTAGGGTAGAAACATATCAAACAGAGATTCTGTGTTCTTGATGACATTATGAAAACCAAGTCTGAACTGAATTTTGAATCCTTACTTGTTCTATAATTGGGGGGGGGGATCAGCATGACAAGTACCCACTATACACAATTTTATGTGCATGATTTGTTAATATTAAATCTTATTCAGTTTCATAAAAATTTCTTTGGAATAAGGCATGTTTATCTGTCAGTCAGGTGTTAAAATATAGTTAGCCTGGAATGCCAAAATGTATAGTGTACATATGACTATGAATTTAAGGGATTAATAATTCAACTGTTTAATTGAAGGAATCTCTTCTTTATTTAAGAATGTCAGAAAAGGCCAAAAAAGAGAGAGAAAAGGAGCGACAAGAACAATACAAACAAGTGCGAGCTCACGTTAAGAAGGATGATGGACGTCTTCAGGCCTATGGCTGGAGCCTTCCTGCCAAATTCCAGCCCTCGGTCAGGGAGACTCCAGCCAAGCGTGAAGTGCCTGTACCAGTACCTGTCTACTGTAGACCCATACTGGAAAAGGAGCCGGGACTGAAGGTACACAGCAGTTTGTCTGTCTGTCTGTATAGCTACTGTTCCATATCATAAAATTAATTTTTGATTTTACAAGCATAAACCTTTAATGAAATTCAAAAGTAAATTTATGATTATAAAGTTTTTTAGAGGAATAGAATTACAACAAAGTAACATTTAGTGAAACTGAAGTAAGTAAATAGTAAATAAATGTAGTTATGTAGATCAATTGATGTTTTTCACCTTCATATTTTTATACGCCCGTCTTAAGACGGGACGTATTATGTTATAGGCTTCATGTCCGTCCGTCCGTCTGTCCACTCGTGTCCGGCTCATAACTTCAATACTAATAGGCCTAGGACTATCAAACTTTGTCAACTGGTACTTCTTGGGTAGACGGTGTATCGCGCACAAAAAGTAGGTCACTCTGACCTTTGATAAAGATGCTATGGCCAAATAAGGAAAAATCCTGTCCGGCTCATAACTAGAAAACTATTAGACCTAGAGCTATCAAACTTGGCAAAAATATACATCTTAGGTAGAAGGTGTGTCGCGGCCTATTTCAAGGTCACTTTGACTTTTAATTTAAGTGAAATTTTTAAAAAAATTAATTCTTTTAAATTTTCAATTTCATAATCCTAAAAAATGTAAAATTATAGTTGTATCCTTGTTAAAAAATGTTAAATCAAGTAAAAAACTTATTTTTTCATCATATACTTTACAGTAATCTGTGAGAAATGTTATGTTGTAAGAGGAATGCAGTTTGTCCCATGGGCATAATTAACAAGCACTGGTCAAGAAGAATTTTGATAGCAGAAATGTGCATGTCAAATTAGAGAGAAATTAATGAGTTTATTGTCAAGAGCTAACTGGAAGACCATCTCTGACCATGCAGCTGTTGTCTCTTGGGAGTTGGGCAAAAAGAAATGGCCTCATAGTTGCTTGTGTTAATTAAGAGTTCTTGATGGCTAGTTCAGATAAAGATCTTTCAATTAGTTATTTGGTGTAATGTAATTAAAACAAATTGATGTTAAAATACAGTATATGATTAAAACTAAATTAATATTGTATGATATGATAAAAACTAATTATACATATTTACATTGAAAAAAAAAATACATTTCAATTTTTATATATTTGCAACAAATTGCAGAGTGCTATGTCTTATAAAATTTTATAGTCTAAAGAATAATTTCTGTTTGATGTTTTTTAGACTGTAGCATTTTTAATCAATCATAAAATATGCAATAAAAAAAGCAGCAGATGGATATTTGTTAAGCTCTAACTCAGCCAGTTTAGAATTATGTGATGTATTATTTCTTATAATTATTGCCTACACTCTTAGAGATGTATGTACAATAAATATGATAAGGAATTAATGGAAATTAGATCATTGAAATCAGTGTCAATCTTGTAATCTTGAACTTGGTAATCAAAGTTACCTGATTTTCTTGCACTCTAATACCAATTTATGATCATTATTGAACAATATTTGACGGGCGTATCATGCTGTGGCGGGGCACTTTATTGTAGATCTGGTGTGCCGCTGGTGTAAATTTAACAGGAGGTAAAACCAGAGATGGGGGATCTGTTGTAGGGGCCAGTGTTTTCTATTCCAGTCCCCCCGAGTCTGAGACTGACCCCAGGAAAGGGGTCAAGGACGAAGTGGACAGACTCAACCAAGAACTCAAGGTGAGCAATTAACAAACACAATGTTGTCGATGTAGAGCCATTTTATATACATGTATATAGATATTGTACACACTGATAAGGATTTTTTACAGAAGTTATTTATGAATATAAAATTGACAGGACCATGAAAAAGGTCTGAAGGATGCAGAGAAGGAGCAGATGTCTTCATTGGTATGGATTTGTCACAGTACTGGTTCCCACACCAAGGTGTCAGTGATAGATGCTAACAGTCCTGGTGATATCCTGGAAACCTTCAAAGTCTCTTCCTCTCCTGTACTCTGTATAGCAAGCGTGGCAGGTAACACAAACACTTAATAATCAGTGTATTGGTGTATAATCAGTGCAGAACTATGGATTCTTTGTAACAGAAAACAATGTAACTGTTGTTCATACTGTAGATAGAGATCTGTATATTTATGGATATTGATGTTTTTTTTAGGAGCCCTGGAGTCTGACTACCCTGTTGATGAGGAGATTCTTAAGGCAGAGTCTTACCCCCAGTACAAACCTCCCCCACCCTCCAGTGACAACTCCCAAACAGAGAACAGTGGTATGGGAGGTATAATGTTTGTACAGTGTGCCACAGGAAACAACAGTCAACCATCCTCCCCTCAGGTGTCTCCTGTAGGATCCTACAAATCTAAAGGTTAATTGTAATCATCAAATGTAGATTGTCATGTCCTTTTACTTGTAACAGGTTGAGATACATGAAACTATACTTGTTCATGCTTAACTACAGTAAATCTTATGCCAGTTTGCAACAGTGCTTTTGTGTAAAAATTCGTGTTTCATGATCTCAGTATTTCAAGTATTTCTTAAAATTTTGAAACGAGCACTTTGGATTTTAAAAGTTGAACATGCTTTGTTGATAAAGCTTTAAATATCTTACATTTATTTGTTTACAGAAGTCACTCCTGAGCATAAGAGTAACCTGAATGCTGTAGCCCAAGCATTGACCTCTAATGGTATTGTATATCTAAATGCTTTAAGTTTTGTAATCATGTTTGTAGTGATCATATTAATACACATATTCAGTATTTATCTTTTCTAGTTATTAAGCAACTAATGTTATTCATTTATCTAATCAGAGATGTACACACATTGGGTATATTCTGGCTATGTAAAATTTCCATCAAAGTATTTCTCATGATGTGTTGTGTTAAAGAAAATGGCTTTACTTTATAGCAATCACGTATTAAATGTGTAATATTAATCATTTGTATAAAGCTGTATTTGCACATAGAACTAAATCTCATTATAATTTTCTGTGAATGGTGTGGGTAACTCAGTGCTTGACTTAACACAAAGCTGTATTACAGAAGAGAAAGTAGACACAGAGGTGGAACACAAGGATAAGTTTGATACGGAAAGTATCATGTCCGATCGTAGTTACGAAGGTGAGATCTCCTGCCCAAGATTTATATCTTCTCTTGTTTTATTGCTTCATAACTTGTACAATATAATATTGAGAGGTTGACAGTTAATTTGCTCATTATAGCCATGTATAATGATTAATAAAAATATCTATCTAGTTTTTTTATTTATAGAAAAATCGATATATATCTATTAAATAGTTATAACACCAATCCATGCATTTTTTAATGAATTAAAAATAATGTTTAGACAGTGTGAAAAATCATAAGAGCAATTCTTGAATAAACACAGATTAAATAGATTATCAAATTTGCATAAAAAATTGCTTGAAAAAGTTATTGTACTGGTCTATGAAATAATATTTTCTTTTTTTCAGTACAATTTGGTGGGGATGATGCCCAGCCTTCTGTGTTTAAAGCCAAAGGTTCCCCGGCTGTCTCCGGCACCAACACCCCTGTATCCCGCTCCTCCCTGGCCTCCCTGGACCACCACCGACACTCGGAGTTAATCAGGGACGGACTCAGTCCGATGTCAGTGGACAGCGACGTCCAGTTTGAGGAGACTGAGAAAATGACCAGTGTTTTACCCACTATCTGGCTGGGGACACAAACAGGAGGGTAGGTACCGACATGGTAAACCTCCAAAATTATTTTTAAGCCACAGAATTGTGAAGTTACAGTTTTCATTAAAAATCACCATTAATGTGCATAGCTAACATGCTAAAAGTTACTTCATACTAACTGACATAGAGTTTTCAAAATTTAGAAGGAAAATCGTAGAAACTAAGGTTACCCTTATGATTTGTATGGGAAAAGTCGATCAACAACATGCCATTGAATGAGAAGTATTGATTGACCAATATGCAGTATAATCTACTGAATAAAAGAAGGAATAATTTTATTGAGAGTACTGTTTTATAATGTTTATGATTTAATATAATGTGTATATTTTTTTAGTCTGTACGTACATTCCTCAGTGGCACAGTGGAGAAGATGCTTATACTCTGTCAAACTAAGAGATTCAGTTCTCAATATTGTGTAAGTACAAAAGATGTTTTCATATTTTCTCCAAATGTTTGAGCAAAAAATAAAAAATATTTTCAATGTGAATTTTATTGTACTTTTTTTCAGACATGTGAAAGGGAGAGTACTAGTAGCTCTGGCAGATGGAACAATCTCCATATTCCATCGAGACACAGGTAACTTTTCTATTTTTGTTTAACTTTATGTCTATCTTAATTCAAGGATTTGCGGGTGCCCTATAGTAATCACTCCGTCTGTCTGTCTGTGACGATGAATTCTTTACAAATTTTCTGTTTTTTATATATTTTAGTCCAATTAAGTTCAAATTTGGTATGGTAGTTATATTTTTATGCTAAGTTTGTTTCTCTATGTCCTCTGGTTTGGAGCTGGGGTGGTGGGGAATTATAACTTTATATAAGAATGAATTGGCAAAGAGAGAAACTTCTGAAAATGTTCCCATTGTAAACTGAATACTGGTATGAGTCCCTTGATTAATTGATAGCAAAGCATTATCTTTAACATGTTTGGTGTGGGTCCATTTATGCTATGAACACTCTGAAATGTTGATTGAAGTATAAATGTTTTTACTTTATTTTTGTTGAAATACACTACACAATGAGTTCTGATTTCACTAAGTTCTAAAAACAAGAAATAGATTAAAGAAGACATATTTTTTTATATTTTTTTTATTTATAAAAACAAAATTTGATTCCGTTTAACTTCTTTATTTGCCTTTTGAGAACTACTCAGCTAGATCTACACACATCATCAATGTCAAACATATATGTACAAATAATGCATACATAGTGAAAATTGCAAAAGATAAATCAATGAGTGGCCGATGGCCGTATGTGGTTGGCCGATGGCCTTGTATGGTTGGCCGATGGCCTTGTATGGTTGGCCGATGGCCTTGTATGGATCTCTGTATGGTTGGCCGATGGTTTCATGGAATATATATTACTTTAATTTTATTTTGTTTTTTTCTTTCGTGAAAATTCAATAATTTTTAACAGTAGGATAAAAACAACTAACTTTACTGAAAAGTTCTTATTATTTAAAATATTTATATACACCATTAATGACCTTCTGATCAGAAAATTTGGATATCTTTCTCTTTAAGAGATGAAAACCTTTGTCTGCAACTGCTGTTTGTTTTTTTGTTCATGATATTTTTGCATTCAAAACCTGGCATTTTATATAACACAAGCTTCGTTATTGTTTAGATATACATTCAGTGTTGAGTTGTTCTTTACTGCCTTATGTAAAATAAATAGAAGGATATTTACAGGTTTTTGGATGTTCAGGAATTATTTTGAAATTTTAAGAATACAGTTGCTGTTTCTTATTCGTCATATATTTTTTAATCATTCCATAAGCTAGTACACTCCGTCTTTACTGGTCATGTTCCTACACACATTCTTTACATGGTATATATTTTGCCTTGTTCTGCATTGTTATATTTCTTATTTAGATGGTCAGTGGGACTTGCAGAATTATCATCTCTTGGACCTGGGAAAACCACATCACTCTATCCGCTGTATGACTGTGATAGCAAATAAACATGTTTGGTGTGGGTATAGGAATAAAATCCATGTCATTGAGCCAAAGAACATGACCATAGAGGTAACTGGAAGCATTCTTAACTCATTTCATTATCCAAATGAAATTTTTACTGCTGTTCATGCAAGTATTCCTATCTCTTAATAGGTTTCATAATATATTTAAACAGTCTTTATTCAATAATAACTGAACAATTATTTTAGTTTAAAATATTTATATACACCATTATGACCTGATCAGACATTGGATATCATCCAGAGATAGAAATATGCCTTCATCTTATAGCTTTTTTGTTTATTTTTGCATAGAAAACCTTTGATGCCCACCCTCGTAAGGAGAGCCAGGTCAGACAGTTGGCATGGGTGGGAGACGGTGTCTGGGTCTCAATACGTCTAGACAGTACACTCCGTCTTTACCATGCCTACACACACCAGCACCTACAGGACGTAGACATTGAGCCATATGTCAGTAAAATGTTAGGTAAGTTTCCATATGTCTAGACACTGACAGTATGCTCTTTCTGTACCACGCCTATACACACCAGCACCCACAGAACGTAGACACTGAGCCTTATGTCAGTAAAATGTTAGGTAAGTCTCCATACGTCTAGACAGTACACTACGTCTGTACCATGCCTATACACACCAGCACCTACAGGATGTAGACATTGAGCCTTATGTCAGTAAAATGTTAGGTAAGTCTCCATACGTCTAGACAGTACACTATGTCTGTACCATGCCTATACACACCAGGATCTCAGGATATATACATTGAACCTTATGTCAGTAAAATGTTAGGTAAGTCTCCATATGTCTAGACAGTACACTACGTCTGTACCATGCCTATATACACCAGCACCTACAGGATGTAGACATTGAGCCTTATATCAGTAAAATGTTAGGTAAGTCTCCATATGTCTAGACACTGACAGTATGCTCTGTCTGTACCATGCCTATACACACCAGCACCTACAGGATGTAGACATTGAGCCTTATGTAAGTAACATGTTAGGTAAGTCTCCATACGTTTAGACACTGACAGTATGCTCTGTCTATACCATGCCCATACACACCAGCATCTACAGGACGTAGACATTGAGCCTTATGTCAGTAAAATGTTAGGTAAGTCTCCATATGTCTAGACAGTACTTTTTACCATGCCTACACACACCAGCACCTACAGGATGTAGTCATTGAGCCTTATGTCAGTAAAATGTTAGGTAAGTCTCTATAGTCTCTATACCTCTAGACAGTACACTACGTCTGTACCACGCCTATACACACCAGCACCCACAGAACGTAGACACTGAGCCTTATGTCAGTAAAATATTAGGTAAGTCTCCATATGTCTAGACAGTACACTACGTCTGTACCACGCCTATACACACCAGCACGTACAGGATGTAGACATTGAACCTTATGTCAGTAAAATGTTAGGTAAGTCTCCATACCTCTAGACAGTACACTACGTCTGTACCACGCCTATACACACCAGCACGTACAGGACGTAGACATTGAGCCGTATGTCAGTAAAATGTTAGGTAAGTCTCCATACTTCTAGACAGTACTCTCTTTCTGTACCACACCTATACACATCATGCACCTAAGCCAGAAAAAGTTTCCTATCTGGACTGTATATTCTGTCTATATGGGAAACACTAGCATATACACAAAGTGTATTTTGAGCCTCAGTTTAATGTTAGGTTAGTGAACAGACAAATTCACAATAAACTGAGAGTAATTTGATGAGTCATTGAACTTGTTATGTACATTCATTTTGCCCTCTTATAAATGTTCATGGACAAATTGTTTTATTCAAGGGTTGATGTGATTTTAATTTTTCATGATTCCAGGAACTGGTAAACTTGGATTTTCCTTTGTACGTATCACTGCCATGTTGATCTCCTGTAACAGGCTCTGGATAGGCACTGGAAATGGAGTCATTATTTCTGTGCCTCTGTCGGAGAGTAAGTAACTATTTCACAATAAGATCAGTAATGTTAGGCAAAGAATGATAAGCTAAGGATATCAGAGATATTGGCCAAGATTCAGCTTGGAAATGAAGTCCCCATTTTTATTTTACCTTGTACCACTTTGTGACAACAAGAGTAAAACAAAAAGTGTGTAAATATTAACATTATCTGTGAACTCTGTAAATTTCTGTTATAGTTACATTGTTTTAAGTGTGAAAACATCATCATATAGGTGATAATAGAGGCAATGTTTTCATTTCCGTAAAACATCACATTGACCGTTGCTGCGGATATTATCAATTATCACCTCTTTAGTGCTTCACTCAGATGTGTATACTTAGCCAGGAATTGTTAGATCAGACTAGAAGAACAAAACTATTGTTATTACAACAGGTAATAAGCAGACCGTGTCCAGTGGACCAAGTGGGGGCCGACCGGGAGGAATTGTAAGGGTGTACAGTGACACACAGACAGACAGTGTCACACCGGGAACTTTTATCCCCTACTGTTCTATGGCACAGGCTCAGCTTTCATTCCATGGCCACAGGGATGCTGTCAAGTTCTTTGTATCTGTTCCAGGTAAGGAGGGGGTGTGATTTAGTCTAGGTATGATTTGGTGTGCACATTTCTATAGCATAAGAGTTTAAAGGCTTTGCTAATTTATTGCAATTTTTTTAATGAATGCACCATTTGCTAAAGAAATTTTTAAAAATGTGATTGTTTTGATATTGCTAAGGAAGTTTTAAAAAACATGATTGTTTTGATATAAGCCAACCAGGTTTAAGGATATAGACTCAATATTTGATACACTCTTGCTTGCTACATTTTGTGTTTAAATTGACAAGGACTGCAAACTCATATTTTCATGGGGTATAATTTTTGTGGTTGGAGGAGAGATTATTTGTTCATGGGGATTTCATTTCATGGAAAAAGAAGTGGTAATTTTCAGTTGAAATTTTTGCATTTCATGGAGGAAATGTATTTGTGGGGTTGGTTAGTCTTAAATAACAAAGAAAATTACCTCCACCCCTATTGAAATTGGTGATTTCACAGTAATATCCGTTAAAAGTTCCAGATGCCAATTATTATAGGCAAAAAGAAATTGAAATTGTGTATAAGTTGACTGTTTTGCCTATACATAAGGATTTCTACAGAGAAGATAGCAAAAAAAAAATTAAATAAATCTACCAATGAAGAAGTTGTGAGGTTTTATCATAATATTTGTCTTGTGCCAGAGACTTTCAAAAACTTAAATTTTTTAAGTGTTGTACTGACATTTCACAATCATTCTCTATCCAGAGTTGTCGTTCCTGCTTCTCTCCCACATACACCTCTGTCAACACTTGTTATACAAGATTCTTGGAAAAATTGGTTTTGATTAAAAGTTGTAATTATGATTGTGTGTAATTATATTTCTTATCAAAAAACATTATTTATTTTAATTTGTTACACCTTAAAAGGATTTTTTAATTAAGATTTTAATTTTTACTTCTCAAAATAATTCCTAAAATCGTTGAAAATAAGTTGTTCTGAGTGATTATAGATGTTTTGACAACAAACTTGTTCTCCTCTATTTATCTACAAAGCTTTTATCTAAAAATAATCTTAAAAAGGCATATAATATTTTAGATGATTTCAGGAAAACAAACAAGGGGAATTTAAATTATTAAAATGTCTTAATAACATGTACAAAATCATTTTCACTTTTTTATCACTTCCTCGCGGAAAGGGGAGATACCCTATATTTGTTGCCTAATCTTCATGGTTTTTTTATTCAATAAATAGTGGTGGGGTCAGTTTAAAAAATCTTCTTCTCAAGAACCACTGGGCCAGTAAAATCATTTCAAATGCTCTTTTTAACAAAAATATTTATGGGATAGTATGATACTAAATTTAAATTTTTTCTCATACCGGAAGTTGTCGAAGACATTTTTCAAAACTGCAAAAAAGATGCTATAACGTAAGAAAAGATTTGTTCACTTCCTGTAAATTGACAACTGGTTAACTGGTTTTTCCTACTCATTAATATCTACCACATGACCCCGAGATCTAGTTATGGGGAAGGGTGGGGCCACAATGGGGAATCAAAGTTTTATATAGAAATATATAGGAAAAATCTTTGAAAATCTTCTTCTCGAATTTCAAGAACCACTGGGCCAGAAAAGCTGAAACTTATATGGAAGCATCCTGGTATAGTGTAGATTCTAAATTAAATCATGACCCCATTTTGGGGGGAAGAAGGTGGGGCCACAATTGTTAATCAAAGTTTTACATAGAAATATATTGGAAAAATCTTTGAAAAATTTCTTCTCAAGAACCACCGGGCCAGAAAAGTTGAAACTTATGTGGAAGCATTCTTGGGTAATGTAGATTTTAAATTGTTCAAATCGTGACCCCCAGGGGAAGGGTGGAGCCACAATGGGGGGATCAAAGTTTTACATAAAAATATATAGGAAAAATCTTTGAAAACCTTCTTCTCAAGAACCACTGGGCCAGAAAAGCTGAAACTTATTTGCACATGGAAGGATCCTGGGGTAGTTGATTTCAAAATGTCTTAATTATGATCAGTGGGGTAGGGTGGGGATACATAATGTATTACAAGGGGAAATCTGGTAAAGAACAGAATGGTCAAAGCTTCTCAGGTGAGCGATGTGGCCCATGGGCCTCTTGTTTAAGTGTAGTACTGACATTTCACAATCATTCTCTATCCAGAGTTGTCGTTCCTGCTTCTCTCCCACATACACCTCTGTCAACACTTGTTATACAAGATTCTTGGAAAAATTATTTTTGATTAAAAGTTGTAATTATAATTGTGTGTAATTATATTTCTTATCGAAAAACATTATTTATTTTAATTTGTTACACCTTAAAAGGATTTTTTAATTAAGATTTTTATTTTCACTCCGAAAAATAAATCCCTAAAATCGTAGAAAATAAGTTGTTCTGAATGATTATAGATGTAAAATAAATAATGAATTATCATCTTTATCAATATTTATAATAATTAATTATATTTAAATTTCGAATCTTCGCTATTTAAAATTTGTACAAGAATCTTGTACAATGAGCGTTGACAGAGGTGTTGTGAGCGTAGCAGAAGATAACTCTGGATAGAGAATGATTTCACGATGGAAAAATTCATCATAAGATCATTATTATGCAAACATGATGTTTCAATTTTTGTCAGACAATGTTTTCTCTGTATATGGATTCCAAGAACATACAGACTAAAAATGATGATTTTGCATCTTATTTTAAAGTCTGCAGCTGATTCATTTGAAAAGTTTCGCCAGTTTTTTTTTTACATCAGTCCTTTCCAATCTTCTTAATGGAATTAATTTAATTGATATTGTCTGATTCAAAGAAAAGCCTATTACCACAAAAGAAGACACCAAAACAGGTGCATGGCTTTGTCAGAATGTTTTCCTTTTATTCAATAAGTGAACTAAAAAAATTTACTCAGTTCTGAAAGATCAATGCAGTCTTGCGTAAAATTATATAAATTTTTTTTGAAAAATGTTTTATTTTGCGTTGTTGCAGACCTGTTTACATTGTAAACCAATATAAATTAAAGATGTGGATTACAAATCATTTGGCATCAGTTATAACCATGAATTTACTAAAAGCAACTTTTCAAATATTGGTGTGCATACAGGTCAGGACCTTTCATTCATCCTGATATGTCTGCTGTCTTCCCCAAACCACTGTACAATGGGTATTAAAAATTAAGGAGAATGGAAATGTACCTGAAAAAAATCAGAGAGATCATTATGTTCTGATTCACAGGCAAAAAAATCACTGCAAAATATCTACTGTATACAAGGAAATTTTCGCCCCCATTTTATTTTTGCCCCTTTCGCCCTAACCTCGGTTGGGCAAATTTAAAACGGGGTGAATTCAAAGAATACAGTATTATTTTTAAACAAAAGTGTGACTGGGCGAATTTAAGATGGGACAAAATTGTTGGCAAGATTGAAAGGGTGAAAATAAAGTGGGTCAAAAATAACCCTGTATACAGTATCAAAGCACAGATATTGAGAAGGTTTTTTTTCTTGGACACTTGAAGATCAAGAAAATGGATAGTAGAATATACTGATAGTTAGAATGAAGATAACTTTGTGAATGCACTGAGAGTAGCATTTATGTGTGTAGTCACTAGGAATAAACCAACAAATGGGACTTGAGGAAGACTTGTGTTGAATGATTAAGTTATGGAATTATTGACTGAAGATTGTATGAATTGAATAACTACAAAAATATATCTTAATGCAATCAATTGATCCAAATGTTATGGTTGGGAACCAAATCCAAGTGTAACTTTCTCTGATTGAGATGAGCTAGACTTCCTCAGCAAAAGAATAAAGTTGGATTCATTTGAATATTTTCAGTCTTTTAGCCGACCTTTAGTATTTGGTTTTAAAACCAGGATAAATATAGTATCACTGGGAGACACTGACTTCTAAGATTAAAATCCAATGACTCAAATGTCAGGAGAAGATGAAAGAGTGAGATGAGAAATTTGATAAGTTGTCTGAAGATGATAAATGTCAATTCAATTAGAATGTGGGCACAGAGATAATTGAACAAAAACAAATGTCCAATTTCTGTCTTCGAGGGTATAAATTCTTCCTTAAGTGACATGGCACCGAGATTCAAAATGCTTCGCAATATATTTCATTATTTTTTACCCAAAACATAGGTGATTTGTGATGGAGATGTTAAAAAAAATTCATAGCATCTCTTTCTTCTTTATAAATCATGTGAATTTAACATTGAATTCGCATAACTTGATGAAGAGCAGCATAGGAATCATTTTCTGATAGACAATGATAATGTGAGGTTCTTTGATGCATGATGATTTCTAGAAATCTAATCAGATACATCGAAGTCACTATTAATGTTGAAAGGTATGATACATAATTTGATAGAAATAGTGTCTGTATTAGTTGAGAGTTTTCTGGTGTCTGACTAGAATTTTAGCTTATTTTGAATAATATTTTTTCTGCAATGGGTCTCAGTTGTTTATATGCTCACAATGTGTGTGTTGTAGGGTCTCCTAGGAAAGGACTAAGTGCAGCTACAGTGAGTGAGGAGGGAGATGACAACAAATCTCGACACGAGGCTGTTCCTACGGAGGACAGCAGCTCTCGGCTGATCCTGTCAGGAGGAGAGGGATACGTAGACTTCAGAATAGGTCAGGTTAACAGTGATTAAAAACAAGTACATCTTAAGCTTCATCCTAGTATTAACATATTTCCTTCAAGATTACCTCATATCTTCAGTATTTTCACAGGATTTACATTATTTTTTTATGATTAATATATATTAAGGATTATTATAATGTACTCGTTTAATTAGTATACTGTTGTCAACTATTTGTAATTCTCCCCATTCTGCTGCAGGTGATGGGGATGATGATAATCCAGAGGAGGAGGAGAAGAAGTTGTCCCTCAGCAAGGGGGACAAGAGCCATCTGATCGTGTGGGAGGTGGCCCAAACCAAGTAACCACCACAGGGAACCATACAGGATGGAGGAGGTGTCAGATAAAGGAACCACTGTAGGGAACCCTGGGGGAGATACCAGACACTTGTCTATATATTACATATGCACTCTGTATGCATACATTACCACTTTGTGTATCAGGCTTCAGCTCATATGCTTGTACAAAGGGGGAATAATTTTCTCCTGCAGATGACCTTTATATTATCAAAATATGTAATATTATCTTCCTGATAAGGTCATATGAAACTATGTATAAATGTGCATCAAAAGCAATGATCTCTGTTGTACTCAATAGTTTTGTTTCACATGGTGGCATTGTTTAATGGAGAAACAAATGTAATTTTGTTCTTGAATTATTTATCCATCTAACACTACAGTGAGAGGAACTAAAGGAAAGATGTGTTAGTGTATATAAATATTTATCCTCCTAACAGTGGGAGGATTTCGAGGGAGGATGTGTTAGTATATATGGCATTTCTGTTTATTTCATATTTAGTTCAATCCTTATCTTCATTATGTGCAATATCTATCCTGTTGATATTTCAAATTTTATTCATAGCTAGTTTTTAGTGTTACATGTTTATTTATTATTTGGTTCTACAGAAAACATAGCCAGAATAAAAATAGAAGTTTTCAAAATGGGGAAGATGTTTGTATAAGCCTTTATTTTAACATCAACAATGTTTTAAGGACCTCAGACACATTCAGTTTAATGTAAGCTTGATGTATTGTTTTCCAATTAAATCATTTTTTATTTGTTATTCAGTGTACATTTTACACAATGACAGAACAAGTATGTTTTTATGAAACCAAGGAAGTGTTTAAAGTTTAGTTGACACAGATGTAATATCCAAATATTAATGTATAGGTTTTATCTCCCTTATTTTTTCAAGTACAAGTACCTCTGAAGTATTTTATTTTTTAAGTCGAAGATCCCCTTCTTACAAATGTATAAAGCAACCAGAAAAAAATGAGAACAACATATAAAAATATTTGGTAGAAAATCTAACAATGTCAGTTTTTTTTTCTTCAGGATTTAAGGTCAGATAACTCTGTCAAAGAAGTCTGTATTATTTCTAAATGTGTATGTCTCTTTATTTTGGGCAGTTTCTTTTTTTTTCTTAATTTAGACTTGAAAACTGATAAAACCAAATTTTGGTATGATCATGTTGCTCTTATTGTTGAAGTTTCTTTTAGAAATGTTAAGCCTAAATTAAGTGAATTGAGCTACAGTAAATAATGTGTATTTCTCCTGTAAAGAAGCGATATTATTGAGGAGAAGGACTATTATTGTGTGTATGTTGTCCATGCATGTTAAAGATACTGAGCTTGATTTATGATAATCATGAATAAAGCTGCAATTTCATTCTTATGTTTTTTTATGTCAAGAAAAAGATATCGAGGTTGGTTATTTTTTACACAAACTATGGTACAACATGTAATTTTAGTATGCATATTTCCTTAATGACATGCAGGTTCATGATTCTATTTATACATCTGAATTATTATGCAGCAGCATATTCATTCCTTTTACATGTAAGAACAGTACATTTTAGTCAGACACTTTAAGGGCAATGTTTTAGTTTAATTCGGCTGTAGTCGAATTAAGAAGGCTATAGTTAAAGATAACTTGGCAGTAGTTGAAGACAACTTTCCTTAAGGTCATATGCAACGTAGTTTGAACATTATTGGGTTCTTCCCTGGAGTTAAAGAGTTCCACTAAATGAAGGACCTGTGTGCAATACTTTTAAAGTCTATATATGGATTTGTACACCTCTTCTAAAACAATTTTTTATGGAAAAAAACATCTGGAATTTATGTTTTGTAATTTTTATATATTTTTCTTTGAATAATGCAAACGTTTTCATAGTTATATATATTCCAAAAACCCCTGGTAATGCATGTTGATATTTTGTCTATGAACATCTGATGGCACTATAATCTTAAATTAAGAATATCTTGAAAAGTTATCAGTAGGCAAGGTATGTTGCGTATGTCCTTAAGCAGATATTTAAAAATGACAGTATTTTATGCATTGTGGATAATGCAAAATGGGGCATAATTTTTTGAGACAAGATGTGTTTTTGAAACACTGATGTCCCCAGATGGCAGCTTTTTTGGCTAAGGTTAAAGTTTATCAAATGCAAATCAAACTGCGAGGTCAAGAGATGAAAAATGGTGTTACCCAAGAAAAGACTTGTCTCAATGAATATACTTGATAAAGCTTAGGCACTAATAACCATGTAAGCAAAAGTTACACCTAAAGTTAAAGTTTTTTTAATGTGGGTAAATCTGCAAGATCGAGGTCAAATGGTCAAATTAACGGTACTCGGGGGGCCTTGTCATAAGAAATACATGTGAAATATTAAAGTCTTGGCACAAACTACGTGTATTCAATAGTTATTGCCAAGGTAAAGTTTTTCAAAAGTATATCAATCTCCAAGGTCAGGGGTTAAAATTGTTGGTTTATAAGGAGGGCCTTGGCACAAGGAATACACTTGTGAAATAATTTTCAAAGAATGTGCTTGTAAAACACTGATACTCCCATATGGCAGCTTAAATGAAGTATGAAAACCATTTAGCAGTAACTGTATAAACGTTGTGATTAAGGTTAAAGTTTTTAAAAAGTGGGTGAAACTATAAGGTCAAGGTTGAAAATATTTATACCCATTGAAAGGTCTTGTCATAATGATATACCGGTATGCATATGAAATATGAAAGGCCTAGCACCAACTGTTCAAAAGTTATGACCACCAAGTTTAAATTTGGGTTTTGTTTTTTTTTTGTAAAAGTGAGTCAAACTCCAAGTTCAAGATCAAGAGGTTAAATTTGGTGGTATCCGAAGAAAGGTCTCATCACAAGAAATACACCAGTGAAATATGAAAGCCATATAAGCCCCACCCATTCGAAAGTTATGGGCAATGTTAACGGACAGCTGGACATACAGACAGACAGGGCAACAACTATTTACCCCTGAATCTTTGATTATGGAGACATAAAAAAGTTTTCAAATATATCAATACATATATGAGTGAAATTCACCATACTAGTATTCATTTTCAGTTGTATTTAATTATGATAGATTTAGTCTCTACAAATTATTAATATAAAACATGCTACAGTTCTGTAGCTATTGATATTTGCTAAAGGGTTGAAAATAGAAATCTACAATGCATTTTCTTTATGTGGCAGGGGGTATTAAAAAAATTAATGTAGTGGATTTCAACAACCACCAATTTACTCCTTTACCCCCCCCCCCCCCCCACCTCCAAGTTAAAGTCTCTGTAAATTTACATAATGTAGTTATTAATTTAAAAAAAATAAAAAAAAAAACAATAAAATGATGTAGCATAACGATTGAAGTTGTCCACACATTAAACTGTTAAATGCTAGTAAGGTGAGCTTAACCAGAACAAGCACCGCATAGGTCTCTGAGGCATAACGGACAAAGGGGTCAAAATCCACATCGGGTTGTTAAATTTAGAACAAGAATTTATTTATAGCAACAAAATTTATTTCAGTGGGAGGTTCTCTGCGCAAGATTACTTTCGTAAACCAGGCTATGCATAAGCGCCTTGGTTGAATCACATTCGAATTCTCAAAGCATTTTTCTTAGTTTCGCTACTCGTCACAATCGAGTGCGCCCACTGTGGAAAAATATAGCTTCGTGCACATTGATTTAAAAATCGAGTCCGTCCCCATTGTGACCTTGTTCCGCTTTGATATGCTGAGACAACTCTACATGACCCCAAGCAGATGAAAAACGTTTATTTATACAAGTCTTGGCGAGTGGTATTAAGAGTTTCAGTGTATACACAGGTAGTTTGGATTAATTATTAATGGCTTTCAAACACCGGCTTCTTAGAATTCAACGAACTCTCGGTAAACACACACACTCGATCTCATTCATCGACATAACTCGTAGCGCCGCTGAGCCAACAACACGGAAAAGATAGGCAAATATATTATTGTAGGAAGGTGTTGGACAATAATTCATGATGCGGATTATATCTGCGACATGTGAAAGCTCGTCGCTTTTGATATGTACATTTACGTGGACTGTAAGGTAATGTACATGGACTGTGCATTTCTCGACGAGCAGTGAAATAAAAATGGATCGCAGCGGGCACCTGCTATAGAACATTTGGTAGGAAGTGTTTACGGTACATTTTCTGGAATTCTAGATAAAAATGGCAAGTAACGGGAATACAAAGAGAGGGGATAACCTGTATCTTACCACCATGGACACAATTGACCCCAAGACTGTGTGTGTTGATCTAGATGGGGAGGAAAATGAACTGAATGAGTCGTCTGACAAACAGACTTGTGTAAAGTGGCCTATTCTCTTTGAAAGAGCTTCAGGTAGCTGGTGGAATCCAAAATTTGACTCACCCATTTTAGAACGAGAACAGTGGGAGAAGTCATTTCCCCAGACGCGCCGAAGATTTCGTGCAATCTTGTGCATCATTTTAGTGTCTTGCCTGGCTTGGAGTGTTTTCTTTGGAATAAGACAGGATGTACTTTGGTTGGAATTTCTGATAGGAAGTGTGGTTTTCCTGTGTCTAATAGCATTAATTCTAGGCTTCACATTTACCAAATTCTACAAAAGATTTTATCTCCTGACCTCTATATTGCTATCGGTTTTGTTGTGTGGGGGGATTCTAGCCCAGTTTTTGTACAGTAACTCGCTAGTTTCTACTGTAGGGACTTTTGCAGCCTCAATTGAAGTCTTATTTATGATGTACACTGTGATACCAATGCCCCTATTTATGTCCATAGGACTTGGAGTCACACATTCCATATTTTATGAAGTGTTAGTTGCAGTTAGAAATGATTACATGCAGCAACCAATAATCATAGTTGGGAAAGCACTGTTGCACCTGTGTGTCCATGTTATGGGTATCCATATCTTCATAATGTCTCAAGTTGGTCAGAGGAGTACGTTCTGGAAAATTGGTCAGTCTGTGCTTGCTCAGAGAGAGCTAAAGAATGAGAAGAGGATAAAGGAGAAAATGATCCACTCCCTTATGCCTCCGTCAGTAGCCCAGGAGGTAATGGCATCACGGCAAGACAAAGAACAAAATCCAGACGAGGACTCCAGATCCAAAAAGCGTAATTCAAAGTCCAAAAATGTCAAAGGAGAAATTATATTTCGCCCCTTTAACATGAATACCATGGATAATGTTAGTATACTGTTTGCAGACATTGTAGGCTTTACCAAAATGAGCTCCAACAAAACTGCAGCACACTTAGTAGGTTTATTGAATGACTTATTTGGTAGATTTGATACTCTATGTACTAATTCAGGGTGTGAAAAAATCAGCACACTTGGCGACTGTTACTACTGTGTGTCGGGGTGCCCCCAGTCCAGGGAGGACCACGCTAAGTGTTGTGTGGACATGGGGCTGGGTATGATCATCGCCATCAAAGAGTTTGATAGAGACAACAATGAATCTGTGAACATGAGGGTGGGCGTCCACACTGGCACCGTGCTCTGTGGGATTGTTGGTAGACAGAGATTCAAATTTGACGTGTGGTCCAACGATGTAACTTTAGCCAATACTATGGAGTCCAGTGGCTTGCCTGGAAAAGTCCACATTTCAGAAGCCTCACTGAGCTTTCTTAACAAAGAAGATTACGATGTCGAGGAAGGACCAGATGTTCAAGGTTAGTATATAATATTTATACTTCACAACATTTTGTACCTAATGAATAGATCCATCTGATTGGATGTGCAAAAAAAAAAAAATTAATAAAAAACTAACTAAAATTGGTTCATTTTTGTAAAGTCATTCATATGTGTATGAGTCAACATGGTCAAAATAAATACAGTTGGATGGCATTGATCTGATTGTCTGTCTGTACACTGGAATTGCTTTTGTCTGTCTGTCTATACAATGGAATTGCTTTTGTCTGTCTGTCTGTACATTGGGATAGTGTTTGTCTGTCTGTACATTGGGATTACTTTTATCTGCCTGTGTACATTGGGATTGATTTGTCTGTCTGTACATTGGGATTGCTTAGTCTGTCTGTCTGTACATTGGGATTGCTTAGTCTGTCTGTCTGTACATTGGGATTGCTTAGACTGTCTGTCTGTACATTGGGATTGCTTAGTCTGTCTGTCTGTACATTGGGATTGCTGTTTAGTGACTGTCTGTATATTGGGCTTGCTTTTGTTGTTTGTTGTACATTGAGATTTCCTTTGTCTAACTGTCTGTTTATATTGGGCTTCCTTTTGTCTGATTGTCTGTACATTAGGATTGCTGTTGACTGGCTGTCATCTATCTGTATACTGGCCATTACTGGGGTTGTTTTTTCTGTCTGTTGTACATTGGGATTTTTTTGTCTGACTCCATGTACATTGGGATTGCTTATTTTTATAATTAACAAGTCATTACACTTGCAATATCTATATTGTAACAGAAAGCTTCAAATTGAACCATTTTGGCTCACCTAAGTACTATAACACGTTAGTACTCATTAACTCTAGGGTTAGACACTATAAATACATCACACTGATTCGTTTTGTGTCCTGTAGATATGTAATAGTATACAGTATGGTATATGGGGGTTGCATTTGAAAATCAATTATCATTGTCATCTGCTACAGTGGTATTGGATAGGGATAAATGTTTATGTTTGTGATTATTTTAGTTGGCTGTCATCACCTTGTAAGGAGAATGGCATTACATGTAATGATGAAGTATTTCATATGAATATGTAGCACGACTTTAAACCTTGAAAACTACTCAGTTCTCAAACAGTAATTAGTAATTTTGCACTGCTCAGTCAAGATAAAATTCTGAGAAATTGTTTTTGAAAGACAGCCAATTTAAATTCCGGTTTGGCCTTTCATGGAACACAGGGGTAGCCCGTATTGTGGATTACTTCAAGATTCTGGAGCATATATATATATATATCTTTTTGAAGATAATGAGAAATAGATTAAATAATCTCATGGACCAAAGGTCAGTGTTAACCCAACAATTCCTATAGTGTCAGAGATATTCATCAGGATTGAAATGCAATTTACTTAGTTAAATTAAAGTGCAGTTTACATATATTGAGTTTCTTAATAGTCGCAAAGTGTTTCATATCTCAGTGACATTTATAACAAAGAATACAAAGCTAAAATGATTTATCATGTTCTTAGACAAGTTCCTGGCTGTTAAAAAGAAACATTCTCCCACACTTAGCCATGCTTAGGCATGTCGGTGATTTGTAAGAATGTTCCATTCCTTCAAGGTACCATATTTTGGATAGGATTTTGAACTTTTTAAATGCACATTGTTTTGATTGTATTGGCACTAAGGTTCATAAATATGTAAACATATATAGATAGACATCAAAAGTTTAATTCATGTTTTTTGAACACATTTGTATCTTGGGAAAAACACTATTTAACTTCTTTGACTTTGAAATGCAAAAAATCAACAGCAGCAAAAATAATGTTCTAACTATTAGTTGTTTCTTGTTTTTGTTCAGTTTAAGAGCTTGGTCAAAATATTACATGTACCACAATTTCAACTTAAAATTCTGGATAAATCCTGTATTTTACAAGTTTTAAAAATTTGTCAGGTGAGCTGTGCAGGACTGAGTAGATTGATTTATAAGGCAGTCTTGATGGATGTGTAATTGAACACTTTCATTGAACTTGACTCTGAAACATCCATTATTAGCATACAATTCATTGAACAGAGATGTCAGCAGGGAAGAGACTGGTTCTGGGGTCCTGGTCTGTTCATTGATGGTCACAGCTTGTGGGAGAAATAGATTTTGTCAGGACATCACTGTATTGATATACAAGAACTGCATGGATACAAAAGAAATAGATTGTTATACATGTTGTTGCCATGGTCAACTCTCGTATTCTCTGGAACATTGCTTGTTCAGGTTACCGTTACTGCAAGGCAGTTATATTTAAATAGTTATTACAGAAATTATTATGAACAAAAATAGTGCAATGTTTTCATTTAAAGTGGTTTGATAAACTTTCATTTGTTACCCTGAGCTCTTAATTAACTGTTATTGGCAATGATCAGCAATATTCATCGAGTATCACTGAAAAATAAAAGAATCTTAAAAAATCTAAGGGATTATGGTTGAGAAAATATTTCTTTGTGTCATTGCACTTTTAAATATCTGAGTCTTATGATAGCATTACTAAGTAGATCAAAACCGGTAGAACTGTGTATTAGCCTGTAGACAACAAAAGATTTCAGGTTAACAAGTAATGTATATTGATTTAAAATGTTAGCCAGAGTTACCCATGGAACCATTGATTCTCAGTTAGTGTAATTTCCCATGTAGGACTGGATCTAAATTCACATTTCTCATGAATATTGGTGATCAGGGTGATTGAGCTCAATGAAGAGAAATTCTGCAGCAGCTTACGAGACAGTCAATAAAATTTAACATTTTCTGAAAAAGGGTTAACTCAAATTTGCATAATGGCAGTCTTGTATAAGGAAAAACACAGTGACAGATCCAGGAATCTTGAAAAGGAGGGGGGTAACCAGCTGTTGGTCAGGGTTAAGGGGCCCAAAGCCACACACAAAAAATTTAATTAAGTAACTCCTATGTATATTTTGGACACAAAGGGGGGGGGGGCCCTCTGGGCTCCCCTCTAAATCCACCAAGGAAACGAGCCTTTATTTTGAATATAATTAAGTCCAAGTTTCGGATAGTGAAAAATGGTCTCAATTAAGGTATGATGGGAAATTAATTCAATTTTAAATTCAATATTGAAGAATATGAGTCAACCTATATTTGTTATTCATAGTACTGTACAAAAGCACTAAGTAGGGGTTCCATAACTGTACAGTTGAACTTTGGTATTTCAGACACTGAAATCTCAAATAACATTGGTATGTCCAAATGATTGGAAGTCCAGACTACTGATTCTTTAATTTATTACCCTTGATATACTAAATACTTTGATCCCATCAAATTTGGGATAATGAGGTTTGACTGTAAATGCATATTTTTCTACTTTTCATTTTGTCATTTTTTTGGCGAAACTTTGAAGTTTAAAAAAAAAAGAAACATAAGGAATAGAAAGGAAATGGTAGAATATTTCAATCTTAGAGGATTTTATTTTAATTTAAAAGTTGGAATGTTACTTTGAACATGTTGAGGCATCTTTTATCACAGACATTTTCAGCAACTGAAATTGAAAGGTAATTATCATATTTTAGACCACGGTTTTCTGTTTCATTTTGCTAAAAATAATATTTACTGAAAAAAATGCCATGGAGATAATTTATTGAGGAACAAGAATGAAGTTCAGCCATGACTTAGAACTGCTTATTCAGTTGGCATTTTTCTGTACAACAGTGTTGATTTATAAAGCTGCAGGGGAGTCATGAACCCTGGTATCCCAGACAAGAACGAGTCTACAGGCTACAAGATCTGATTGAGGTGGAATAGAAACTCAGCTAATGAGTGTACTCAGTGTGGGACATTTAGGAAATATAAATAAAGGATAGCAGAAACTGCCTCCATAAATTACAAACAGGGAATTAAATGTATCAACATGGAATGTACAATGTAATTTGAAGACAAGTTCGCCTTTCAATGGGGAGCAGGGGGGGGGGGGGGGGGTAATTCAATATAGATTATTTTACACCATTGAGTACCCACACAGTTATGCTTTGTTGTACTCTTTCAGTTTTTGTAAGCTGGTTAAAAGTTCATACATGTATATTTTATACACTGCATTACAGAGATTTACATGTACATTGCTTTGTATTTAATGTGTGGAATCTGATAAAATATATTTGAAATAGAGCATATAATCACAGGCATATGATAGGGTGACTGGTAATTAGTTTTTCCAATATTGGTACTGATCACTTATACAATATAGTAATAAAATCAAGTAACAATTTAAGTTCCTCCTCAATGATTCCGGTCTTCTGTTTTGGAGAGCAAGAAATGCTCATTCTTGCAGATCTTGTATTTTATATTTAAATTAGTTGAATTTGTTTTTAAATTAGATTAATTACAGTATCTCGCAGTACATTACCAGGATATCAATTATCAGTGAACTTTTAATCCTTTCTTACAACCACAACAAGTAATTAACTATATATTTTTCATACAGGTTTAAGAAACATTAAAAATAAGTTTTGGGTGACATTAAAATTTGAAAGTTCATATCCGGCCTTTTCAAGTCAAAAGAACAAGTCTTATTAAAGGGGCAAATCTCAAATTATATAAACAATAAAGACTTTCTTAGGAATGAACACAAATATCAAAATCTTCATGTGCATTCAAGGAATTTGTTTATGAAAAACATTTTTATCAGCATGATTGACAAGTGCCCAGATAGTGAAATGGAAGAAAATCCTCTATTCACATCAAGTAATTTTATTTTAAATTGGACGTTAAATCTTTCAGTGGCACTTGAATGGCTTTAAATAGCAACACTTATTCATTCAAATATTGATTTGTGAAGAAGTGTACATAAAAATAAGTCTTTATCGAGATGCATTTTGCCACTGGAGTAGCTTCTATGTAGGCTTGTATCCACTCTAACAACATTATCCCCCTTCATAACATTACATAATTTTTCAGTAAATCAATAAAAATAAGTAAAATAACAAATAAAAATGAATATTTAATGAAAATAAATATTTTTTAAGGAACATATTTTAATATTAATA